AGCTGCTCGCGGCGCGGGGGGGGGGGCCTCAGTGGCGTCGTAGGCGAGGGCCTCCTGGTTCAAACTAACTCATCGCTGGCTCTGGCTGCCCCCAGGATGTCACGAGCACTCTCGCCCCCCGGCTCTCGCGGCATTCCTTCTGGAAGCGCGCGCGCAGTCCGCGGTGGGCAGCGCGCCCACCCGGCCGCGCTCGCGGCGCCCAGCTGCGGCGAGGCTCGCCGAGCGAGTGCGCCCTGCTGTCCAGAGGCCGTCGCGGGCAGCGCACATCACAAGGAATCCTGGATGCCTTGAACACTTCTTGCTGCCCTTAGCGCAACCAGCATCTGGAATCAAATCAAGAGGGGCGCAGCATCCCGCTGGAATCTGAGCTGGCGCGCCCAGGCGAAATCATGCCCACGCTGCAGCCTGGCCCCCACCAAATCCAAAAGCGAGGCAGGCCTGAGCTGTCCTACGCCGACCTCGGTTCCACTGCAATCTCTCCACAACAGAGGGCGCGGCGCTGCCCAGCCGGCTCGGAGCGCCACAAGCCTCGCTCTTCCAAGGGCCCCATTTGCTCTCGTGCCAATCGGGCGCCTCGCTTCCTCTCGCTTCGCCCTGCGTGCGACGCAAAACTGGCGGGGTCACAGTGGGCGTTCGGGGTTGGGAAGCGACAGGCGCTGGTGCTAAAACTGGGCCCTCGTGAAACGAAAACACCTCGACTGCAAGCAGCCCCTGCAAGCTGGGTGAATTAACCCTCGACTGCAAGCGTCTGAAACGAAAGCATTCATCATCGCTGAGGCCTTGGATCTCAATGCCGACAGCCGCGCACGTAGCGACCCCTGTTTTCACTGCGCTGTGAAAAGAACGCTCGGCACATCCACGCGTAATTATGGCGAGGCGCCCGTGCTTTCTGAGCCCCAAGACGCATCGAGCAAAAATCGATCCTCTGCTGATATCTGGCTCCAACTTTGGCGCGCTCGCTGCAAATCCCTGGTGCACTCCCACATTGGCTGACATCGTGGCTGCCGCGTCTCCGGGCAGGCCGAAGGCTCGACGGGCTTCTCGCGCAAGATCGACCCTAGTTGAGATCACCGCGGCATTGTCATCGAACTTGGTCTTTCAAATTCTGACGCACTTCTTAACGCCTTCACCTGCGCCGATGGCCATGCCGCTGGCGATGTCCCGACCTGTGCTGGACACGCTGAAAGCAGCACCCTCAAAACAACTCAGGACATGCACGAGCGGCTGCCGAAGCATGATGGCGTCAAAGCTGGTAACCGCATGGACTTTGACCGAACCACCATTGAAATAGCTTCCTGCTGGGAGGCCTAGATTGAAGTAAAAAACACATGGGGCGTCGTGCTGCACCAGTCTCAAGACCCCGATCGCCCCCCAAACATTGCAAACAAGCGTCATGAAACCAACGGGCGCCCCAGGAAATCAGCAACTATCCCTCGACTCCTGGAGGCGCGTGACTTCGCAACACTTGAAAACATCGGCAGCGAGCAAAGCACTGAACCTGGAGGCGCTGGCGACTCCCTCGCCCCATGGCTGCCTGGATCCAACCGCGGGCCACAGCTGGCCCACCTTTCGACTGCCCCCCAGCACCTGCGGTCGACCCGGCGACTCTCCCGAGCCTCTGCCCCCACAAACAAAACTATGAGACGGTGCCCTCCGCCTGCCGCGGGCGGCGCTGGCCGGGCAAACCGCAGCGGCTGACGCGGCAAGATGCCAAGTGCCGCGCGCGCGCAGCCGTGCACTTGAAAGCTCCACTCCTTTAACCTCCAAGGCCGGCGCAAACCTAGGAAGGGGAATGATCACGACTGCAGGAGGTGCTCCAAGCAAAAACTTCGCCCCGCAGCCCTTGTGGAATCCACCGGGGCGCGCTCGAGATAGGACGCGTCGGGGGCCCGCGCCCAGGGGGCCTCAGAGGAGCCTTTGCAGCGCTTCTGGTAGGGGGCGATGCAGTCAGTGCTGTGGTACCTTGCACAATTGTGGCTGCACGTACTTGCCTATGCGCGCTGACCTCGCGACATTCCGAAACGCTCGCAGCGTTCGCCGCCTCGCACAAGTCCTGCCAGGAATCGCTTGTTTCTCCGATTATCCTCTGACTGCGTAACGTAGGTTATACTCGGCATCATGTAACATGCTCAACAGCTGCTACGTATATCTTGTCTGCTTGACTAATTGCACGGCTGGGCCGACGCGTCGCCACAAGCGGGCGCTGGGCCCGACGCCCGGGGATCGGCGGCTAGAAAACTTCATATCTCGCGCGCAGGCACGAACTGAATGCGTTCAGAGTCGGCAGCGCGGGAAGAACTATAATTTGGCCCACCGCGTTCTCCGCCGCATCCAGCCTTTGGCGACCGCTTGCGCGCCGGCGCACTCTCTGGCTCGACAGGCTTCAACCCGCAGCGCTTCGAGACGTCGCCCGAAGGGCCTGGGGCTCAGAAGACGGTTTCCCGAGCGCTCCCCCGGATGTCTCGCAGCGGCGTTGAGAATCCACTCCGCGCCGCCGACGGCAGAACCCGCGCGCGCGACGCGGGCGCCCCGCTGGCCGCCTCGCGAACGCTCTCGGCAAGGCTCTTCTCCATGCCCCACGCGGGGGGGGCCCAGGCGCAGGCCCTGCAGGGAATCTTCGGGCTGCGCAAGAAACGCGGGGCGCGCTGAATATCCACGCTTGAAGCCGCTGCCAACTATGGACAGTCGGACCGGCGAGCGGGGCTTGAACGCCCATGTCGCAGTTACCGCGAGATTGCCGAGACCTCGACCTATGGGTTCGCTGCAACAAGGAGAATCGACGATGGTGGACACTGCGCCTGACTGGTTGCGATGGCTCGCTCTTGCCTCGAGGCTCCTGGGTGGTGCTCTCTGGCAGGTGCCCTCTACGGCTTCATGGTTGCAGCGTTTTGCTTTTGCATTGGTGTGCCGCGGTTGGTGCTCCATGACTGGTGCCCTATGATGTCTGCTTTGTTGCGAGTTTTCGCTCTGGCCATGGTAGCCCAAGGGTGTTGCTCTACGGCTGGTGCCCTATGTTGCTTCACTTGTTGCGATGTATCGCTCGTGTGCAACTGCCATGCGGATGGTTCTCTAAGGCTGGCGTCCTGTGACGACCCAGTGGCTACGATGTCTCGTTTTTGCCTTGGTGTCTGTTGGGTGTTGCTCTATGCCTGGCGCCCGCCTTTCTGCCCCCTGGCTGCTGCTTCCTGGCCCGTGCCCTGTCATGTTTGAGGTGCTCCCATGTCGCTGCCTTGCCCTGGCGCCCCATGGGTGGTACCCAATGCCGGGTGACGCTTGGCGGGCTGCGATCTCTCCTTCATGCACGGGCTTTGCCACATGCTGGTGCAATGTGGCGCGCGAGTGGTTACGGCGTATCATAGTTTCCGTGCCCTCTGGGTGGTACTCCCTGGCTGCCGTCCTATGATGCTTGAATGGTTACATGCCTGGTGCTGCTGTATGGTGCCCTCATGTTTGCGTATATGCCCATTGTGCGGTGCTCCCGTGGCTGGTGCTACATGACGGACTGAATGTTGCGACATTTCGCCGTCGCCGTTGCTTGATGGATTCGGCAGTACGGTGTACGTGCGATGATGTTTCAAGTTTTGCGAACTGTCGCGCTTGTCTCAATGCCAAATTGCTTGTGCCCTACGGTTTATATGCATGGCTATGATGTTGCATCTGTTGCGAATCGTTGCGCCCGCCCCATGGGCAATGCTGCTATTATACGACAGGTGGCCAATGATGCACTGCTTGTTGCGGCATCTCTTTCTTGCCCTGGTTCAGTGTAGGTGGCGCCTCATGGCTGGTGGCGTGTGATGGTTAGGTGTTGCGTTGCCTCGTTACTGCATCGGCGCTCTACGTGTAGTGCCCCAGGATGCACCGAGCATCTGTTGCACCACACATGGCCCACATCGAGAATCGAAGTCCCTCCCCAAATCGATGTTGCTGATATTGTTGATGGTGGCGGAGGTTGAACATGAAGCCTTTGAACCAAACACCCACCGTTCTATGAAATACGTATGCCAAGCCATGCTCCAAGTCAGTACAGCATTATGTGCCAATGCGGCCTGTCTCTCGAACTTCCCTGTCCACCATGCCGCTGTGAGGAGCACCCCCTCGTCGGTGATGCGACCACTCACGCACGACGATCGAGCCGTGCGAGCGACGCACGCCAGCTCGTCGACCCTACGCGATGGCTCTCGCGGGCAGACAGCGAGGCACAAACCGCGTGGAAACGAGGGCGCTGACGCGCGACCTCACGCGGGCAGCTGACGCACGAATGTCAGCGCAGTCGACCCCGCTCTTCGGCGTCGCTCCTGTGAGGCCCGCTCCGCCAGACTCTTCCCTTCCCGGCGGCGGCGAGGCGGGAGCCTCCGCTCCAGCGCGGCAGCGATGCAGGGGCACTGCGGAGCGAATGGGCCGGCATGCAGGAGGAGGGAGGAGGAAGGGTAAAGTCGGGCGTGTCCCCCTACAGGGGGATTTTCGACGAAAAATGAAAAATACCCCAAAAATACACCAAGAAGGTCAAACAATGCTCAAACAATAATCCCCTGACTATTTTTGGATTATTGTTGGGGGTATCTCTTATTTTTCGTCGAAGCTCCCCCTGTAGGGGGACACGCCCGACTTAGAGGAAGGGCGGGAGAGCCCTGCGGGACGGGAAAATGACCACAGCCACTGCTTCTTGTTTGCGCCGCCTTCCAGCCGGCCGAAAAACAAGCAGTGGTTGTGGTCATTTCCCGGGTGCCAGGCTCAACGAAAATGACCACAACCACTGCTTTGTTGCTGCGGGCTGGAAGGCGGCAACAAAAGAAAAGCAATGGCTGTGGTCATTTTCACGCCCCGTAAGCCCACTACGCCGGCCCACTCCGCCGAGCAGATGGAGGAGGAGGTGGAGGAGGAGGAGAAGGAGGAAGAGCTGGAGGTAGAGGTGGAGGGGAAGGAGGAGGAGGATGAGGTGGAGGAGGAGGAGGAGGAGGAGGGAGGAGGGAGGAGGGAGGAGATGGAGGAGGAGCAGGCTCCTCCAGGAACTTCCACAGCAGCACCAGGATCTCCTGGTAAAAGGCGATCCTGGGCACCGACCTCGGCGGACCCCCGCCGGGGCGCCATGGGCGCCCGGCCCGCGGCGCCGAGGTCGGGGCGGAAGACTTCGACGGGGGGCGAGAAAGTAAAAATACGAAGAACATGCTAGGACATATGGGAAAAAGGCCAAGAACATGCCAGGAAGGGTAAGAATGCTAAGAGACTCAATTTTTTCGAGCCGGGCGTTTTCGCCCTGTTTCGGCTCCTGGGACCCTCGCAGATCGATCCGGCTCGAAAAATGGCGCAGAAAGATGGGGTCCAGGGCTCCGGGCGCGGATTTTCACGAGGTTGCAATTTTTCGCTACGTCGGATCTCAGGGGAAGACTTCGACAGGGGGCGAGAAAGTAAAAATACTAAGAGCATGCTAAGAAATATAGGACAAATGCCAAGAAAATGCCAGGAAAAGTAGAAGTACTAAGAGAAGGCCCCCACGTGGTCCAAAATAGTCAGAGCATCGTCCCCAGACTGTTGCGTGACTGTTTTTGACTATCTCTCCTGCAGAGGTACAGGCCCGACTTGACCCTACTCCGGGTTCCTCAGTGAGCGTCGGGGGGGCGTCACCCCCGCCAGCAGCCCCACGTCGACCCCCGCCGCGGGCAGCCGCCGCGCGCCGAAGGCGCTCCGACCCCCGTCGCGGCGCGACGGCGAGGCGAGCTTGACCCCCGTCGGGGGGCCCCCCGCCCAACCCCTACAGTCGGGGCCTTGACCTAAGGAACCCCAAATAAGGAACGAGGCCCCTTTTTTCCATAAGTTAAACTTCGATTTCCTATCGGAAACATAAAGAAAACCTGAGGCAAGCTGTGAAACACGTAAGGAACGCGGAGCCCCTCCCCAACCAAAAGGGTTCCTTCTTCAGGGCCCCGACTGTATTCAGAGTCCCAGAGTGCACGTTGCCCCCTTCCGGCCACGAGAAGACGCCGCACGCAGCAGCAGCGCAGGCCGCCGCACACGGGGGCGTGCGGCGCACACGACGCGCTCGGCCGAGCAGCGGCTGAGGGCTGCAGCGGTGCGCTGCGAGCACGCGAAGGTCGGAGAGTTATGTTGCATCCTCGGGGGACCTTGTCTGTCCTGTCGCGGTCCTGTCCGCGTCGAATCCGTGTCGAATCCATGTCGGACGCGTCGGATCCGTGTCGAATCCGTGTCGAATCCGCGTCGAATCCATGCCTAATCCGCGTCGAGTCCGCATCGAGCCCGCGTCGGGCCCCCCAAAAGACACCAATTTTGGGGACAGGCGAGGTCCCCCGAAGATGCAACAGAAGGAGAGGGTTGGCCAGAACGAGTCAGGGTCTGCTCCAACATCGCGCGGCGCCAGCCCACGGATCCGCCAGGGCAGGTCGAGCCCTCGTGGCATCACTGGCGCATCTCTGCACTTCGGAGGGCAGCGCGCTCGACGCGGCAGCTGAAGTACATTCTGAAACAGTGGGTGACGAAGCGCGTGGTGCCCACTGCGACATCTGCAGCAGCCGCTGGCCGTCAAAACTGAAGAGCAATGGGAAACAAGACATCCTTGCGGCAGAAGACTAGAGACCTCCCAGATGAGGTCCGAGCAGATGGGGTCGTAGGATCGCGCCACATCGCCGATACATCGGCAATGCATCGGCAATGCATCGCCGATGCATCCGCGACATCGGCGACGTACGGGTGCCGTTGGAGTGGAAAACAAAAGGTCGGGCTCCACATCGGGTCGCATCACCGATGCATTGGCGATGCGGCGCGATCCTTGGACCCTATCCTACGCATGCAAATCTGCAGTATGCAGGCCACGGCGGGGACAACGATAGGGGGCAACGAGGGGTGGCAGCGGAGGCCCGGCCACCGTGGAACGCAGCAGTGGGGGGGCAGGGGGGCTCCCCCCGCTTCGGGGGCGGGGCATGCCTCACCCGCGATTGGAAGAAGCATACGGGACCCTCACAGACGAGCTGTTCATGATACACATGCCCGTTTCTGCTTTCGCGAACCCTCACAGACAGACTGTGTGAGGAAGAACGGCTCCGCACACCACCAGAAACGCGTGCGACTGCACTGTCTTGAGGAGCATATGGTGCGATTGAACAATATTTGCGTACACGCTGTGGCCCACGCGGCGAAGGCATCGGTAATGACGGCATCGCTGCAAAAAGCGTGGCGTCTCCCCAGCAGTATTCACTCGAAGATTAGCGGTGGGATCCCGAGAGCATGTCATTATGCGGCGAAATTGAAAGCGAAGTGTTGTTACACTCCGTGGCTGATTCAGTCTAGCGCAAGCAAAGTACCATCCAATGTCTCTTCATCCGATTTGCTGGTGTCCAAATGTCCAAATTGTCTGTCCTTGGCAGCTGATCTCCTGGGGGGGCATCGCTCCACACAGAGGGCGCAGAACAGAAAGGGAGGAGGACGAAGAGCAGCAGCAGGCAGCAGCGGCACTAGCAGCAGAAGGATTACCCAACGGTCGAAAGAAAGAGATAGTAGCATGAAGTAGGAAGGCGTTGAAAATAGATTGGGTTCCGTCCGCCCCCGAAGGAGGACGGAAAAGGCGAAGCCACCCTATCATTGAAGCAGGAAGTCGCTTGAAGTAGATTGGAGTCTGGGAATCCCAAGGTACCTACTTCCAACGACCGATGGGTACGGTGATGACACGGACAAATCGCACAGGAAGGGGGCCGAACCAGGCGAGGCGAGGCGAGGCGTCCGTCCGAAGGGGCCGACCCGCAAGAGGGCCGCAGCCCTCGCATGTCGTTCCTCCGTGCGAAGCCCTCCTCCTCCTCCTCCTCCTCCTCCTCCTTCTCCTCCCCCTCCTCCTCCCCCTCCCCCTCCTCCTCCTCCTCCTCCTCCTCCTCCTCCTCCTCCTCCTCCTCCTCCAGATCATTTCCGATCTCCTGCGAGATCGTGCCGTGCCTCGTGGGCCCACTGCCCCGAGCCACCCAGGGGGGAGGGCTTGAGCCGAGTCTTCCACCGGCCCTCCGGGCGGCCGGCGGCCGAGGGCAGCTTCCAGGAGCTCCTCCTCCCAGCACATCCTCGACACTTAAGAGTAGCGCCCGTCTACATCCTCCTCCTCCTCCTCCTTCTCCTCCTCCTCCTCGTCCTCCTCCTCTTCCTCCTCCACCTCCTCCTCCTCCTTTTCTCCGCCCCCTCCCCCTCCTCCTCCTCCTCCTCCTCCTCCTCCTCCTCCTCGTCGTCGTCGTCGTCGTCGTCGTCGTCGTCGTCGTCGTCGTCGTCGTCGTCGTCGTCGTCATCTCCCATGGCTCCACACTCTGGCGGGACGGGCGAGGGAGAGGCGCGGAGCTGGACAGAACGGCGGAGGAGGGCGGGCGAAGTGGACTACCGGGGGGGGGGGAGGGAGGCAGGGACAGGCAGGGAGGGAGGGAGGCAGGGACAGGGGGGAGGGAGGAGGAAGGCAGAGATAGGAGGGGGGAGGAGGGAGGGAGGCAGGGAGGCAACTGCCGAGGAGGGAGGGGGGAGGCAGGGATAGGGGGCACAGTATGGGAGGGGGAGGGAGGGGACTCAGCCTGAGAACGCCTGCCCGGCAATCGAGAGCGCGCCCCAAAGCCAGGGGTGGGGCCTCACCGTACCCGCTCCAGGCTCTCCTCTCCATCCCTCTCTCCGCTCACCCCCTCGCCCTCCCCCCTCGCCTGCTCCCTCCCCCCCCCTCCCCTCCTGCTGACCCTCGCCAGCAGATCCACGTGATTCGCCTCACACTCCCGTCGCTGGACTGTCGCAGAATCCCCCAGAACTCCCTGGACGCCGGGAGCCACACGAAGGCAGCATGGTGTTCGCGGAATCCACCAAATTGTTCAGCAGTCTCGCAAATCCATGATAGATGAAATCGAAGTCCTGGAGACTGGAAGTGCAAAAGAACTGCTACAGCTGGTGAAGAACATGGAGCGAAGAATTGCACACGCATCCCGAGGCAACGATCCCATGTGATCCGGATCGTGGTGCCCTAGTATCAACGTAGAAGTTCAACGAACATCCACGATCAGCCGTTACAATTAATAATCTATGAAACGCATGTATATTGAAAGTGCGATGAGATATCGCCAATCCCTGGTATTATGTTTGTTCCTTCTCTGCGAAGTATGCGTGGATCGGCATGACATCGCAAACCTCACATACACTATTGGCAATCCGCTTGGAATATGAAATATGCTACGGAAAACGAGCGGCTCACAACTTGCTCGTGCACCGGATACTAGCACATCTCAAGAGGACATCAAATCACCATGCTGCAATTACTGGCCAATGACAGGATTCATGGGCGAGTCACAGGTAGCAACAATGATGCAACGCAGCAACACGGCGAACATTGTAAGGAGTGTCCCCTCTTCCGTCCGACGTCTCCTCCTCCTCCTTTTGATGAGTTCCCCCGCGTCACTCCCTGTAGGGAGTAGTTTGGCAGGTGAAGAGCAACAGGCGAACCCCCACGCACCCTATCCCGGTGCTCCTTCAACTGTTCAACCTCATCCAACCACTCATCTTTGGATCTCCTCCTCCTTCTCCTGATCCTATTCTGCCGCTTCCTGATCCTCCTCGTCCAACTCGTTCCTCTTCTCTTGCTCCTCCTCCTCCTACTCCTCCTCCTCCTCCTCAATCGTCATCCCCCCCTGTCCTCCTCCTAGGGCTCCGTCATCTCCCTCCTTCCCCCCCCCGCACATCTTCCTCCTCCTCCTCCTCCTTCTCAACATCATCACAACAGTAATCATCATCATCATCATCATCATCATCATCAGCAGCAGCAGCAGCAGCATCATCAGCATGATCACCAACCACCACCATCACTATCATCAGCAGCAGCACCATCATCAGCATTATCATCATCAACACCAAGAACAAACTCATCACAACACCCATCATCTGCATCATGATTATCATCATCATCAGCAGCAGCATCAACATCATCAGCATCATCATCAGCATGATCGCCAACCACCACCACAACCACTATCAGAATCATCATCAGCATCATCAGCATTATCATCATCAACACCAGGAAAAAACTCATCAATAACAGCCATCATCTGCATCATCATTATCATCAGCATCATCATCAGCAGCATCATCAGCATCATCAGCATCATCATCATCAGCATGATCACCAGCCACCACCACCACTATCATCAGCAGCATCAGTATCATCATCATCATCATCAACACGAAGAACAAACTCATCAACAACAGCCATCATCTGCATCATCGTCATCATCAGCATCAGCATCATCAGCAGCATCAGCATCAGCATCATGAGCATAAGCATCATCATCAGCAAGATCACCAATCACCACCAACACTATCATCAGCATCATCATCAGCATCGTCAGCATTATCATCATCAACACCAAGAACAAACTCATCAATACCAGCCACCATCTGCATCATCATTATCATCATTATCATCAGCAGCAACAGCATCCGCATCATCAGCATCATCATCAGCATGATCACCAACCACCACCACCACTATCATCAGCATCATCATCAGCATCATCATCATCAACACCAAGAACAGACTCATCAACAAGAGCCATCATCTGCATCATCATTAATATTATCATCATCAGCAGCATCAGCATCAGCATCATCAGCATCATCAGCATCAGCAGCATCACCAACCACCACCACCACCACTATCAGCAGCACCATCATCAGCGTCATCAGCATGATCACCACCAACACCAGGAACAAACTCATCAACAACAGCCATCATCTGTATCATCATCATCATCGGCATCATCAGCATCATCGTCATCATCTTCAGCAGAAGCAGCATCAGCATCATCATCAGCATGTTCATCAGCATTATCATCATCAACACCAAGAACAAGCTCATCAGCAACAGCCATCATCTACATCATCAGTATCATCATTATCAGCAGCATCAGCATCATCATCAGCAGCAACCACCACCACCACTACCATCAGCATCATCATCAGCATTATCATCATCAACACCAAGAACGAACTCATCAATACCAGCCATCATCTGCATCACCAGTATCATCATCAGCAGCAGCGTCAGCATCATCAGCATCATCGACAGCATGATCACCAACCACCACCACCACTACCATCAGCATCATCAGCATCATCAGCAGTATCATCATCAACGCCAAGAACAAACCCATCAACAACAGCCATCATCTGCATCATCATTATCATCATCAGCAGCAGCATCATCCAGATCACCATCATCAGCATCATCAGCATCAGCAAGATCACCAAACACCACCACCACTATCATCAGCATCATCATCAGCATCGTCAGCATTAGCATCATCAGCACCAAGAACAAACTCCTCAACAACAGCCATCATCTGCTTCATCATCATCAGCATCGTCACCATCAGCAGCATCAGCAGCAGCATCAGCATCAACATCATCAGCACCATCAGCATGATCACCAACCACCGCCACCACTATCAGCATCACCATCAGCATCATCAGCATTGTCACCATCAACACCAAGGACAAACTCACCAACACCAGCCATCATCTGCATCATCACCTTCATCAGCATCATTAATAGCAGCATCATGAGCAACATCAGCATCATCATCAGCATGATCACCAACCACCACCACCACTATTATCAGCATGTTCATCAGCATTACCATCATCAACACCACGAACAAACTCATCAACAACAGCCATCATCTGCATCATCATCATCATCATCAGCAGCAGCAGCAGCATCAACATCATCAGCATGATCACCAACCACCACCACCACTATCATCAGCATCATCATCAGCATCATCAGCATTATCATCATCAACACCAAGAACAAACTCATCAACACCAGCCATCATCTGCATCATCATTCTCATCATCATCAGCATCATCATCTTCAGCAGCAGCATCCTCATCAACATCATCATCTTCATGATCACCAACCACCACCACCACTATCATCAGCATGTCCAACAGCATTATTACCATCAGCACCAAGAACAAACTCATCAACAACAGCCATCATCTGCATCATCAGCATCATCATCACCATCATCAGCATCATCAGCAGAAGCATCCTCAGCAGCAGCAGCAGCATCAGCATCAGCATCATCAGGATCACCAACCACCACCACCACTATCATCATCATCATCAGCATTTTCATCAGCAGTACCAAGAACAAACTCATCAACCAACAGCCATCATCTGCATCATTATTGTCATCATCAGCAGCAGCATCAGCATCATCAGCATCATCATCAGCATGATCACCAACCATCACCACCACCACCACTATCATCAGCATCAGCATCATCAGCATCATCATCATCAACACCAAAAAACAAACTCGTCAACAACAGCCGCCATCCGCATCATCAATATCAGCATTATCATCAGCATCAGAGCAGCATCGGCATCATCAGCATCAGCATGATCACCAACCGCCACCACCACCACCACCACTATCATCAGCATCATCAGCATTATCATCATCAACACCAAGAACAAACTCATCAACAACAGCAGCACCAGCATCAGCACCATTATCATCATCAGCAGCACCAGCATCAGCATCAGCATCATCAGCAGCATCACCATCAGCATGACCACTAACCACCACCACCACCACTATCATCAGTATCATCAGCATTATCACCATGAACACCAAGAACAAACTCATCAACACCAGCCATCATCTGCATCATCATTCTCATCATCATCAACAGCAGCAGCATCAGCATCATCAGCATCATCATCATCAGCATGATGACCGACCACCACGACCACTACCATCAGCAGCATCATCCACATCATCCGCATTAGCATCATCAACACCAAGAACACACTCATCAACAACAGCCATCATCTGCATCATCAGTATCATCATCAGCAGCAGCAGCACCAGCATCAGCATCATCAGTATCAGCATGCTCACCAACCACAACCACCACTACCATTAGCATCCGCATCAGCATCATCAGCATGATCACCATCAACACAAAGAACAAACTCATCAAAAACAGCCATCATCTGCATCATCATCATCATCATCATCAGCAGCAGCAGCATCAGCAGCATCATCAGCATGATCACCAACCACCCCCACCACCACTATCATCAGCATCATGAGCATTATCATCATCAACACCAAGAACAAGCTCATCAACAACGGCCATCATCTGCATCATCAGTATCATCATCAGCAGTAGCAGCAGCATCAGCAGCCTCAGCATCAGCGTGATCACCAGCCACCACCACCACTACCATCATCATTATTATCATCATCATCATCATCATCATCATGAGCATCATCAGCATGACCATCATCAACAACAAGAACAAACTCATCAACAGCAGCCATCATCTGCATCATCATTATCGCCATCATGATCATCAGCAGCAGCATCATCAGCATCATCAGCATAATCACCAACCACCACCACTATCATCAGCATCATCAGCATTACCATCACCAACACGAAGAACACACTCATCAACAGCAGCCATCATCTGCATCATCATTATAATCATAATCCTCGTCATCATCATCAGCAGCAGCAGCATCAGCATCATCAGCGTCATCATCATCAGCATGATGACCAACCACCACCACCACTATCATCAACATCATCATCAGCATCATCCGCAGTATCATCATCAACACCAAGAACAAACTCATCGACAACAGCCATCATCTGCATCATCATTATCATCATCATCATCATCAGCAGCAGCAGCAGCATCAGCATCATCATAATCGTCACCATCAGCATGATCACCAACCACCACCACGACTATCGTCATCATCATCATCAGCATCATCAACATTTTCATTAGCAGTACCAAGAACAACAAACTCATCAACAACAGCCATTATCTGCATCATCATCATCAGCAGCATCAGCAGCATCAGCATCATCATCAGCATGATCACCAAGCACCACCACCACCACTACCATCAGCATCATCATCAGCATTACCATCATCAACACCAAGAACATACGCATCACCAGCAGACATCATCAGCATCATCATTATCATCATCATCATCAGCAGCAGCAGCATCAGCATCAACATCATCAGCATCATCATCAGCATGATCACCAACCACTACCACCACAAGCATCAGCATCATCATCAGCATCATCCGCATTATCATCATCAACGCCAAAAACAAACTCATCGACAACAGCCATCATCTGCATCATTACGATCATCATCATCATCATCAGCAGCAGCAACATCAGCATCACCATCATCATTATGATCACCAACCACCACCACCACTATCATCATCAGCATCAGCAGACCATCATCAACGCCAAGAACAACCTCATCAACAACAGCCATCGTCTGCAGTATCCGCATCATCATTATCATCATCAGCAGCAGCATCATCAGCATCAGCACGATCACCAACCACCATCACCACTATCATCAGCATCCACATCAGCATTATCATCATCAACACTGGGAACAAACTCATCAACACCAGCCATCATCTGCAGCATCATTAGCATCATCACCATCGTATCAGCAGCAGCAGCAGCATCTTCAGCACCACCATCATCAGCATGATCACCAACCAACACCACTATCATCAGCATGATCATCAGCAGCATCCCCAGTATCACCATCAACACCAAGAACAAACTCATCGACAACAGCCATCATCTGCAGCATCATTATCATCATCAGCAGCAGCATCAGCATCATCACCACCACCATCATCAGCATGCTCACCAACCACCACCACTATCATCAGCATCCTCATCATCAGCATTATCACCATCAACACCAAGAACAAACTCATCAAAACCAGCCATCATCCACATCAGCATTATCATCATCATCATCAGCAGCATGATCATCAGCAGCAGCATCATCAGCATCATCATGATCACCAACCATCACCACTATCATCAGCATCAGCATCAACATCATCAGCATTATCACCATCAACACCAAGAACAAACTCATCAACAAGAGCCAGCATCTGCATCGTCATTATCACCATCATCAGCAGCAACATAATCAGCATCATCAGCATCACCTGCATGATCACCAACCACCACCACCACCACTATCATCAGCAGCATCATCAGCATCATCAGCATTACCATCACCAACATCAAGAACAAACTCATGAACAGCAGCCATCATCTGCATCATCATCATCATCAGCAGCAGCATCAGCCTCATCAGCATCATCATCAGCATGATGACCAATCAAAACCACCACTATCATCAGCATCATAATCAGCAGCACTATTATCATCAGCACCCAGAACAGACTCATCAACAACAGACATCATCTGCACCATCATTATCATCAGCATCAGCAGCAGCATCAGCATCATCAGCATCATCATCATCATGATCAGCATCATCAGCATCATCAGCAATATCACCATCAGCACCAAGAACAAATTAATCAACAACAGCCATCATCATCATTACCATTATCATTATCATTATCATCATCATCATCATCATCATCATCATCATCATCATCACCATCATGCATCATCATCATCATCAGCTGCAGCAGCATCAGCATTATCAGCATCATCATCATCACCAGCATGATCTCCAACCACCACCACCACCACTATCATCAGCATCATCAGCATTATCATCATCAACACTGGGAACAAACTCATCAACAGCAGCCATCATCTGCATCATCATTATCATCATAAGCATCATCAACATCATCATCATCAACAGCCGTCATCCACATCATTGCCAGCATCATCAGCATCATCATCACCCGCATCAGTATAATCAGCATCATCAGCAGCATCAGCATCATCAACATCATCATTCAGTATCGTCCTCGTCCTTGTCCTCCTCATCGTTAAAAATATCAACCTCGCCCTCGTCATCGTCATCATCATCGTCATCGTCATCGCCATCGTCGTCGTCATCTTCATCGTCATCGTCAACGTCGTCCTCGTCATCGTCATCGGCCTCGTCCACATCCTGATCCCCATCTTCCTCATCCTCCTCTTCCTCATCCGCATCCTCGTCCTCGTTCTCATCCTTATCCGCATCCTCCTCATCCTCCGCCTCCCCTCCTCATCCTGATCCTCCTCCCCATCACCACCACCACCACTATGACCATCATCAGAAGCAGCATCACAATCAGCATCAGCATCATCCACATCCTCGTCAGCAACATCACCATCATCATCATCATCATCATCATCATCATCATCATCATCATCGTCGTCGTCGTCGTCGTCGTCGTCGTCGTCGTCGTCGTCGTCGTCGTTATCCTCCTCCTCCTGCTCCTCCTGCTCCTCCTGCTCCTCCTCCTCCTCCTCCTCCTCCTCTTTCTCAATCTCCTCCTCCTCCGCCTCCTCCTCCTCCATCTGCTCCTCCTCCTCCTCATTCTCCTTCTCCTTCCCCTCCTGCTCCTGCGCACCCTCTTGCTCCTCCTCCTCCTCCTCCGCCTCCTCATGATCACCACCACCACCACAGTAGTCATCATCATCAGCATCAGCATCAGCATCAGCATCAGCATCATCATCATCATCATCATCATCATCATCATCATCATCATCGTCATCAGCATCATCATCGTCGTCGTCGTCATCATCAGCATCATCAGCATCATCATCATCACAATCACCACCATCATCATCAACAACAACCACAAGAACAGCATCACCAAACACAACAGTCCTCATCATCATGACCATGACCATGACCATCACCAACATCATGATCATCATCAGCATCATCATCATCAGCCGTAATCATCATCATCAGCAGCAGCATCACCATCAACAGCCATCATTCACATCATCACCACCACCATCATCACCACCATCATCATCATCATCATCATCATCACCATCATCATCATCATCATCAGCAGCACCAGCAGCATCATCCTCAACATCATCATCACCATCAGCATAACCAGCATCATCAGCAGCATCATCAACAACATCATGATTAAGTATCGTCCTCGTCCTCGTCCTCATCATCGTCAAAGCTATCGTCATCGTCATCGTCATCATCATCGTCATCGTCATCGTCGTCATCGTCATCGTCATCGTCATCGTAGTCGTCGTGCTCGTCGTCATCATCATCATCATCATCATCATCATCATCATCATCATCATCCTTATCTTCATCCTAATCCTCATCCTCCTCATCCTCATCCTCATCCTCGTAATCCTCCACCTTCCCTCCTCGTCCTGCGTCTCCTTCTCCTCATCACCACCACCGCCACCATCATCATCAGCATCATCATAATCATCAGCATCAGCATCAGCATCCTCATCATCATCACCATCGTCCTCGTCCTCCTCCTCCCTCTCCTGCTCCTCCTTCTCTTCCTCCTCCTCCTCCTCCTCCTGCTCCTCCTGCTCCTCCTCCTCCTCCTCCTCCTCCATATCCTTCTCCTTCTCTTCCTCCTCCTCCTCCTCCTCCTCCTCCTCCTCCGCCTTCGCCTCCTCCTCCTCCGCCTCCTCCTCCAACTTCTCCTCCTCCTCCTCCACCTCCTCCTCCTTCTCCTCCTCCTCCTCCTCCTCCGCTCCTCCTCCTCCTCCGCCCTCCGCCTCCTCCTCATCTTCCTCCTCCATCTCTTCCTCCTCCGCCTCCTCCTCCTCCTCGCCTCCTCCTCCTCTCCTCCTCCTCCTCCTCCGACTCCTCCTCCACCTCCTCCTCCTCCTCCTCCATCTTCCCTCCTCCTCCTCCTCTCTTCCACCTCTTCTCCTCCTCATCCTCCTCCTCCTTCCTCCGCACCCTTTTCCTCCTCTCCTCCTCCTCCTCTCCTCTCCTCCTGCTCCTCCTCCCTCCGTCTCATCCTCCTCATCCGCCTCCTCCTCCTCCGCACCCTATTCCTCCTCCTCCATCTCCTCCTCCTTAACCTCCTCCTCGGCACCCTCTTCCTCTTCCTCCTCCCCCTCCTCCTCCTCCTCCTCCTCCTCCTCCTCCTCCTCCTCCTCCTCCTCCTCCATCTCCTCCTCCTCCTCCTCCCCCCCGTCCTTAGGATCGGACAGCCACGACAAGACTCGCCGGTAGACGCCAGGCCTCTCCGCCTCCTGCCGGGACGGGGACGGGCGGTCTGCGGGGCCGAGCGCGCGGCCGGCGTGGCGAGCGAGTCGTCGTCGTCGCCGCCGCCGCCGTCGTCGCCGCCGCCGCCGCCGCCGCCGCCGCCGTCGTCGTCGTCGTCGTCGTCGTCGTCGTCGTCGTCGTCGTCGTCGTCGTCGTCGCCGACGAGGGGGGGGATGAGGATTAGAGGCGAGGATCAGGACGAGGATCAGGGTGGGGATGAGGATACGGACGAGCACGACGATGAGCAACAACAGAAGCAGCTGGTTCAAGGGTAGACAGAGGGAGATAACCGTTGGAGGCTTGCGAGGTGGACGTGCCGCAGGAGGAGGAGGAGGAGAAGGAGGAGGTAAAGGCAAAGAAACAATGAGAGGAGGAGGAGGAGGAGGAGGAGGAGGAGGAGGAGGAGGAGGAGGAGGAGGAGGAGGAGGGGAAGGTGGGAAAGGAAGCGGGCGGAGGAGTGAAACGGAGGGATGAGGGAGGGGAGCAGGGAGGTTGGGAGGGACCCACGGAGGCAGGGAGGTCGGGAGGAAAGGGAGGGACAGGAAGGGCAGGGAGGGGAGACGGAGAGGAGAATCAGGGGAGGGGAGGGCAGTATGCATCTGGAACGCTCGCGTTTCGATCAAAACACGTTCCACAATGATCACCGGCGCCTCAGCACATGATGAACGGACATTGTGACAAGTTGAGTCCATGTCTCCCCTCCTGCCCCCTTGCCCCAATCCCTCCTCCTCTTTCCCCCCCTGTCCCCCCCCCCTGCCCCCCCCCTGCCCCCCCCACGCCCCCCACCCCCCTCTCCCCCTTTTTCGGCCCAACTCCACAGCGACCCTTGCCCACCTTTGTTTTCTTAGTTTTTAGTGCTGTGCACTTCCCCCTTGGGCATTCCATCCCATTCCGTTACATTCTACCCCCTCTCCCTTTGCCTCCGCCTCGCCGGGCGATGGACGCCGCCCTTGCCACAATCCTGATGCCACACCTGGAGCCGCCTGTGTCGGGGGCGCGCAATCATGGATCAGCCATCCGTGGGTGAGGCGCGCGGTCGCCGAATCCATGGATCGGGGGAGGTGCCCTCCCCAAAATGCGGCCGGTGCCGCCTCGTTCGGCGGCCGAAATCCGCGATTTCCCATGGAAACGGGACCCGTCGCTAATCCACGCCCCCTTGGAGGAGGAGGAGGAGGAGGAGGAGGAGGAGGACGATGAGGAGGAGGAGGAGGAGGAGGAGGAGGAGGAGGAGGAGGAGGAGGAGGAGGAGGAGGAGGGGGAGGAGGGTGAGGAGGAGGAGGAGAAGGAGGAGGAGGAGGGGGATTTCCAATGGGACAGACAGACACGAAGGAGCGGAAGCGTGGGTGTCGGAGCCCCGAGGGCGGGGCAAGCCACTGGGCGAGTCCCCCCGGGGGATGTCTGCTCATCCACCGCCTGGGGAACCAGCGTCCAAGGGCCCCAGGCTCGGGTCGGGCACGTCCCCCTACAGGCGTTTTGGACGTGAAAAATACTGGAAAACATGCCTCACAGATAGCCAAAGATACCCCCAAATCGTCCCCAGACTATTGTTTGAACTATTTGTGCATGTTCCCCCTGTAGAGGGACATGTCCGACTTAAACCCAGGAGGCAGCGGGTACGGATACCCTTAGGTCCCAAGGGGGAGCCGGCAATGTTGAAGGGGCCCTGGGACACACAAATAAATACACACAAATAACAGGAATCCCCATATTTTCCCATATCTTCTGGGTTTTTATCTTCCCCCCCACTTCCCATGTTCTCCCATATTCCCTGGGGAATCGACGATTTATTGTGTCTGTGTTTTTTTCCCTCCTGCAGTATGACGTGTTGCCTGCCTTGGGCCCTGGGAGGACAGTTCCCTCTGGGCAGGGGCTCGGCTGCGCGTAAGAGTCCGCCTGTGCAAGACGGGCAAGCGAGAGCTGCATCAACGACACGCCGCCATGAGAAACGCGTCCGTGCGTTAACTGTTGAAAGCAACTTGAAAGTGGTCAAATACACACAAATAACATGATTCCCCATATTTTCTTATATTTTCTGGGTTTTTATCTTGCCCCCACTTCCCATATTTTCCTATATTGCCTGGGGGATTGACGGTTAATTGTGTCTGTGTGATTTGTTCCCTCCTGACAACTGCTGAAGAAGCACATGGTCTTTGAGCGCAAAAGATCGGCGCAAAAGATCGGCGGTGGGCAGACCTCCCTGTAGTAAAGCTCCCTTTAACGGGAAAACGGCCTCGGACCGAAACCGACGGACCTGGACCCGCAAAAATGACGGCCGTGACGCCCTCTCGCGAACAGAAAACGGCCCATTCGCGAATCGACGTGTCAGGGTAGGAGGTCTATCAACCTCCGAAGAGAGAGAGCGAGAGAAATCAAAAACAAACAAAACAAGCACATCGTCTTTGAACGAAAGACAGGGAGTCAAAGAGAGAAAACGAGAGAGAGAAAGAGAAAGAGAGACATCAAAAAACAAATAAAAAAATCACATGGTCTTTGAACGAATGAGAGAGAGAGAGAAAGAAACAAACCAAACACGTGGTCTTTGAACGAAAGAGAGAGAGAGAGAGAGAGAGAGAGAATGAGAGGGACAGAGAACAATCAAGAACGAAACAACAAGCACATGGTCTTTGAACGAAAGCGAGCGAGAGGGAGAGAGAACAAGAACTAAAAGGCAAGCACATGGTCTTTGAACGAGAGAGAGAAATCAAACATAAAAAACAAGCACATGGTCTTCTGAACGAAAGAGAGAAGAAAATGAAATAATAAGAGAGAGATAACCCAAACAACAAAAAACAGACACCTGGTCTTTGAGCGAAAGAGAGAAGAGAGAGAGAGAGAGAGAGAGATACTCAACAAAAAAGCAATATCTAAAAAACAAGCACATGGCTTTTGAACGACAAAGAGAGAGAGAGAGAGAGAGAGAGAGACACATCAACAACTAAGAGAGAAACACATGGCCTTTGAACGAAGGAGAGAGAGAGAGAGAGAACATAAAAAACAATCAAACAACAAACAAACAAACAAGCACATCGTCTTTGGACGAAAGAGAGAGAGGAAGAGAGAGAGAGAGAGAAACATCAACAAACAAAACAATAGCACATGGTCTTTGAACGAAAGAGAGAATGAGAGAGAGAGAGAAATATCAAGAACTAAAAGACAATCACATGGTCGTTGAACGAAAAAAACAAATAAACAAAAACAATCACATGGTCTTTGAACGAAAGAGAGAGAGAGAGAGAGAGAGGGAGAGACAGAGAGAGATATCAATAACTAAAAGACGAGCACATGGTCTTTAAACGAAAGACAGGGAGAGAGAGAAGTAACAAAACAAAAAACACGCACATGGTCTTGGAACGAGAGAGAGAGAGAGAGTGGTCTTGGAACGAGAGAGAGAGAGAGAGAGAAAAATCAAGAAACAAAACACAAGTACAATAGAGAGAGAGAGAGACAACAGCAAAAAAAAACAGCAAGGAAAGCATACCAAAAACAAACAAAAACAACAAACCAAACAACAAGAAAAGCACAACCCAAAAAAAACAAGCAACAACAAACAAACACGCTGACGGGCCCCCAACGACGGCGTGTGTTTGATGCCCTCTGCTCCCCTGCCGGCAGACAGCGCGCCCCTCCGCGCGCGACCCCCGGGCCGCGCGGGCGGAGGGGACGGCCAAGTCGACCACCGCCACACCGAGGACACGCCCTGAGATCCTGGCGACTCCATCTGTTCGACTCCTCCTCCTCCTCCTCCTCTCCTCCTCCTCCTCCTCCTCCTCCTCCTCCTCACCCTCCTCCTCCTCCTCCTCATCTCCTCCTCCTCCTCCCATCCTATCCTCCTCCTCATTCGCCTCCTCCTCCTCCTCTCCTCCTCACCCTCCTCCTCCTCCTCCGCCTCCTCTCCTCCTCCGCCTCCTCCTCCTCCTCCTTCTCCTCCGCCTCCTCCTCCTCCTCCGCCTCCTCCTCCTGCTCCTCCTCCTGCTCCTCCTCCTTCTCCTCCTCCTCCTCCTTCTCCTCCTCCTCCTCCTCCTCGTGAGCCGGGCGTTTTCGCCTTTTGTTCGGGTTTTGGGACCCTCACAAGTCGATCCGGCTCGAAAAATGACGCAGAAAGATAGGGTCTGGGGCTCCGGGTGATGCTAGAAGTGCCCCTGGCCCGAGGTGCCCCCAGCTTTTCGTTCCATTTTGAAGCCCCTGGGGCCCTCTGGGCCTCGTGAAGGGTGCTCTGGAGGCCGTCTGGGCCACCCCGAGAATCCTGGGGGTACCTTGGGCCAGGGGTACATCTAGCAACACCCGAACACTGGGGGATATCTTCGGCATGCAAACGTTTACCGGAACCAGCTTCGCACCGGTTGTGGTCAGTGCGACGTCCCAGGACGGCCAAGTCGACCACAGCCACAACCAGAGTGCTGACGCCGAGGTCGGTGGGTTCTCCTCCGAGGGGCCCTCCCGAAAAATCCACCTAGTTGCGGGCAATACTTATGTCCATATCCAGTGCGACTTGGACTTTCTTGGAAGGGGCACCGCAAGGCCGAGGCACACTGGATATGGATAGAGTCTAGCCTTTGGGAGCCAAAATTTAATCTATGTCCCGTGCGCCTGATGTTTTGGGGGGAGAGAGCCCGAAACTCCAAGACGCACTGGATGTGGATATCGACATTGCCCGCAATAGTTGTTGTTGTGGTCCTTTGCTGTGCCTGGAGCGAGAGGGGGGGGGGGGGGCACACCCAAGCAAACAGGCGCGAGCGCCCGTGGGACCCCAGCCGGACCGCCCAGGAGGCCGCCCCGGCGAAAACTCAACAATGCAGCCAGTCAGCGGGCGTAAAAGCTCGTCGACGACGACGACGACGACAATGAAGACGACGACGACGACGACGACGACGACGACGACGACGACGACGACGACGACGACGACGACGACGACGACGACGACGACGACTTCTGGTGCTGTGCTGCTGCGCGCGCCAGCTCAGGAGCTCCGTGCCCTGCCTGGCGCCCCGGGAGCACCGCCCCGGGGGCCGGCTGCGCCGACGTTGGCGCGTCGTGAGGTGCCCCCGCGCACAAGGTCGTGCGCGAGCGCCCTCGTCTCTCGGAGGAGGACGAGGAGGAGGAGGAGGAGGAGGAGGAGGAGAGGAGGAGGAGGAGGAGGAGGAGAGAGAGGAGGAGGAGGCGGCACGGCAACCCGGGGCCCTCGGGGGCGCCGCCCCCCCCCGGGGCCCCCCGGAGGCACTCGGCGGGGCGCCGCTGCCGGTGGGCAGGCCGCGGCCGCCAGGAGTCGCGAAGCCCTCCCTTCCTTCTCTCCTCCTTCTCCTCCCCTCCTCCTTCTCCCTCCTTCCTCCTCCTCCTTCCTCTCCTTCCTTCTCCTTCCTTTTCCCTCCTCCTCCTCCTTCCCTCCTCCGCCTCCTCCTCCTCCTTACCTCCTCCTTCCTCCTTCCTCCTCCTCCTCCTCTCCTCCTCCTTCCTCCTCCTCCTCCTCCGCCTCCTCCTCCTCTCCTCCTCCTCCTTCTCCTTCATCCTCCTTCCTCCTTCCTCTCCTCCTTCCTCCTTCCTCCTTCCTCCTTCCTCCTTCCTCCTTTCCTCCTTCCTCCTTCCTTCCTCCTTCCTCCTTCCTCCTTCCTCCTTCCTCCTCCTCCTCCTTCCTTCCTCCTTCTCCTCCTCTCTTCCTCCTCCTCCGTCCTTCTCCTCTTCCTCCTCCTACTCCTCCCCCTCCTCCTCCTCCTCCTCCTCCTCCTCCTCCTCCTCCTCCTCCTCCTGGCGCCGGGGGGCAGCGAGAGACGGCGGGCCTGCTCAGAACGCTCGGAGGCCTTCGCAGCCCGCCGAGAGGTCCCCCGAGCCGCACCCGAGGGCGCGGAGCACCGCCTCGGAGGGCGCGAGGGCCACACGAGAAGGTCCCGCCGCCTTCCGGGAGGGCCTTCTCCTTCGCACGTGCCCCCCTCGCTCGCCGCCGATGCGAAGGAGCGCGGCCCTGGGATACGAGACCGATGTTGCACCACAGCAGCAATTCGGCCCCTGGCTTTCGTCCTGGGCTCGGTTCAGTGAAGTGACGAATCTCGGGGTCCCTACATGGGAAAAAACATAACTTCACTCATCTGGGGCCCCTGGGGCCTCAGTGGGCCCTGGGGCCCAAAATTAGTGAAGTGATGGTTTTTTCGGGCCTCGGATGGGAGCGCGAACCCAGTGCAAGGGATCTCGGCCCCGGGAGCGCGAGCTCAGCGCGATTCGCTGGGGACCGCGGCCTCGGAAGCGCGGGCGCAGCGTGAGATTCGAGGGGGGCTCGCGCCTTCGGGTCCAGCGCCGGATTTTCAGGAAACAGCGGGGGGGCCGAAAAGCGCCGCACGAGAAGTCCCGCCGCCTTCTGAGACGGCCTTCTCCTTCGCACTTCCCCCCTTCGCTCACCGCCAACCTCCACTGCGGAAGACTCCAGCAAGCCTCAGGTCGGGCCTGTCCCCCTACAGGGGGGTTTTGGGCAAAAAATGAAGAACACTCAAAAACAATACCCCCAAATGGTCAAAAAATATCTAAAAGTAGTGCCCAGACTATTTGTTGACTATTTTCGAATCTTCCTCCTGCAGAAGGACAGGCCCGACGGAGCCGGCGGAGCAGAGCGGCGCTGCCGAGACGTGCCCAGCTCTAGGCCTCCTGGGTGGGGTCGGAGTCGATGGGGTCGGAGGATCGCGCCGCATCGCCGATGCATCGCCGCTGCGGCTCGATATGGAGCCCAATTTTCTCCACGCCGCCGTCGCTGATGCATCGGCGATGTCGCCGAGGCATCGCCAATGCATCGCCGACGTATCGCCAATTCATCGCCAATGCGGCGCGATCCTCCGACCCCATCGACTCCGACCCCATCCAGGAGTCCTCCACCAGTGGCTCGGAAGCCTCATGGATCCCCTCCACTGTTGACTTTCCTGCTCCGGGCCAAGTCAATTCGGTGTAGGAGGCTGCGACACACGTTGCTCTAGGCGGCTGTCGAGCAACCTCACTACACACGGCCGTGGCGCGCGCGTGCTTTGATGCTATCACCCACCATGCACTCGGTATCCGGTATTGATGATGCTTCCTGCGAGACTGCTTTGCAGACCTGACGAGCTACATTCAGAGCAAGTGCCAACTAAGCAAGCAAGCAAGCAAGCAAGCAAGCAAGCAAGCAAGCAAGCAAGCAAGCAAGCAAGCAAGCAACGTCACATGTAAACGACCAACACACTAAGCAAGCAAGCGAGCAAGCAAACAAGCAAAGCCACATGCATGGGAGGAGCTGGTGTTTCACTCCCCCTCACCCATCCGCCTCTCTATGATTACCGCTGCGCTCGCTCTCTCTCTTTCTCTCCTCTCTCTCTCTCTCTCTCTCTCTCTCTCCTCTCTCCGTTTGATTAAACAGCGCTGCGCAGCCGGCACCCTGGTCATCCACCCTCCCCCATCCCTCCTCTGGCTCGTTCCCCTCTTCCCCATCTTTCCTCCCTACGCCTCGATTGCCCTCGCAGAGACGCCGCATCGGAAGGGTGCGCAGCTCCCCTCTGGCATCCCCGCCACAACCTTCTCACCCACCCCTCCCCTAGCCCTCCCTTTCCTCTCCCGACGCCCTCTGCGCTGCCCATTTCCTTCATCCCCTTGCTGGGTGCGCCGAAGAAGGGGGGGAAGGAAGAGTTGGGGTCAGCACATCACGACGCGACGCACGTGCGCGGACGAGGGGCCGGGAGGGGGGGGGCAGGGCGGGTTTTGAAAGAAGAAGACGAGAGGAGGGCCATGATAGTTACCTGGAAGGGCCCCGGCCATGATATCCACACACACACACAATCCCACACCCCTTCCTGCACGCCCCCGCCCCCCCTTTCCCCCCCCCCTCCCCACCACCCCCGCCCCCGCCCCCCTTCCCTGGACGCCCCCGACCCTCTCCCCCTCTTCCCCCTTCTCGGGAGCGGCAAAGAGGGGGTGTCTAAGAGGGGGGGGGGGGGGGCAAATCATGACCGGCGGCACGTGCGCGGCCCAGCGGGGGGGCCAGGGACGTATTGAAAAATAAGAAGAGGCGCCATGAAACTGGGGAAATATCATGGCCCCCGCCATGATATCCCCCCCCCCTCGTCATCACCCCCTCTTTGCCGCCCCGATGCTCCTCCCTCCTCCTCCTCCTCCTCCTCCTCCTCCTCCTCCTCTCCTCCTCCTCCTCCTCTTTCCTCCTTTTGCCGCCCCGACCTTCCGCCCCCCCCCCCCCCCTGCAGGCGGAGAGCGGGAGGCGCGGGCCGGGGATGCCGCCCGGCAGGCCGAGCGGGCAGGAGGGGAAGAGGCCCACGGCAAAGGGCGCGCGGCGGCGGGCGGGGGAGAAGGCGCCCCTGTCCTCGGCGACGACGCCGTCCTGCCGGGGCTGCCAGGGAGGCAACGGGGACGACTGGCGCTCGATCTGCATACGTACGTACGTACGTACGTACGTACGTACGTACATACATACATACATACATCTGGCGCCTACACTTCGGGCGCCACGCCAGATGGACACTTCGGAGTTGAATCTTGGATGGCGCGCTCCCTCGCTCTGGGTGCCCGTGTGCAGCCTCAGGCCATCTCTCCCCGACTATTGGTGGTGAGGCTTGATAGTTCACAACGTTCTTTCGCACATGTGGTTGCCCACGCACCTGTTCAACAAGCTTCTGAAACCGACAGGTCGGCCTTCTGGGACTCGCTCAAGGCCGCCTTGCATGCCATTCCACCTACACGCATGGTGTTTCTCTCCATCGACGGTAACGCCATGCTCGGCTCCATTCCGTCTTCGGCCATCCCGTTTCAAGACGGTACGGCCGAGAACAACAACGGCAACTGTTTGCGGGAAGCCATGGAGGAAGCCGTGTTGGTCCTGTCCTCAATGGCCACACCCGAGGTCCTCCCAACGTGGTCCGGAGGCCTCGTGCAGCACGAGGGCCGTCGTAACGACTACGCGGCCGCTTCCATGGAAGTTGCTAACCACTTCGTCCAAGCGGGCGTCGACCACAGCGTGCATCTCAGCGGCAAGGACTCGATCGACCACTTGCTCACTTACGCCGAATTCCTTGTGCCCTGCCCTGCAAGGGGGGGAAAGCAGTGCCACCATCCGGCTTCAGCCCAGCTGAGCCGTTCTTTGATAGCCGACCCTGAGCGCCAGCTTCGTTTCCAGCGGTACCTCTGGGAACGTCTTGCTCGTGTTCTCGCTGGCCCAGCGGATCCCGAAACTCTCCGCGACCGCGTCGTGGCCCTCATGCGCGACGCCCAAGACGCCTGCTTCTCCGTCACTGCCGCTCCCGACGAACCACGGCGACCTTGGACGTCTCCAACTACAGCGATGCTGGCCAGTGCGACACCTCCGTCGCGGACGACGCTTCACCGCGCTCGCCGGGCGCTCCAGCAGCAAACGCTCACGTGTCTATGGGCGTGGTGGTGCCGCGCTACACGACGGGTTCCGCGGCCTTCTTCTTGGAGACGCTGTACGTGTTCTCACCCATGCGGGGCCCTCCCTGCCCCTGTCCCTGGTCCTGCGTATAATCATCGAGGTTGCGAGTCCTTTCCTCGCCTCCGCCGTGCCGAAGCTGCTGCTACAGCCGCTATTCGTGCACATCGCAAGCAGGTCAAGCAATCTATCTCCCAGAATTTCGACTTCTGGGCTGCTTCGATCGCCGTCGAAGCCGAGCAGGCCGCTGTTGTTCATGATTCTGGAGCTCTGCATGCACTCGCCCGTCGCCTACGCACTGGCCACGACCGACCTCATCGCGCGGTCAAAGACGCCAGTGGCAACCTTCTGACCGACGACTTGGGCATCGACCAGCGGTGGACTGAGCACTGGTGCCAGCACCTCGCTGGCAGCACCCTCCCGTTCTCCGAGTTGTTGGTTGCCGACTCCGCCGAATCTGTTGCACCTGACGTTCTGCGTGCACCGCCGTTGTCGCTCGACTACGTCGAGTCCCTCCTTCGGGTCTCCAAGGGGCGCAAGGCCACTGGGCCTGATGGCGTGGGGCCTGCTGTATGGAAGGCAGGCGGTGAGCCGGCCGCATTGATCATGCAGGCTGTCCTCAACTCCACCCGCGCGCACTGCAAGGCCCCCGCTCTCATGAAGGGCGGCCGCGTGCAGGATCTGTGGAAACGCAAGGGCGAACGCACCGACGCTGCGAACAGTCGCGGTCTCCTCATCCAGACCCACGCGGGGAAGGTGCACGGGGCCACGCTGAAGGCCGCAATAGAACCTCACTACCCCCGCGCCGTCGCCGACACGCAACGCGGTGCCGTCGCAGGCCGCGGGGCCGCTGCCGCCGGGCTCACTGCCGAGCTGCACGCCGACATGTGCCGCTCCCGTCAGCAATGCTTCGTCCGTCTCTTCGTCGACCTGACCGCTGCCTTTGACACGATTTGTCGCGAGTTGGCGATGGTTCGACCGACTGACGACCCTGATCGTGTCCGTGGCGCGCTGAGCGGTGCGGACTTCCCCATGGCCGTGCAGGAGCAGGTGACCGAATTTACCCAGACGCATGGTAATCTTCTGCGCGCCGCCGGTGTTCCTGCTGACGCAGCTGCCTTGGTCGCCGGCATGCACGCGAACACGTGGCTCCACGGCCCCGACATCCCCGAGCAGCCGCATACAGGTCACCGGGAAGAATCCCAAATGGGGGCCCCTCGCAAGCAACAGAGAAAGAGCGACCATGCAGCGCTACAGGTCTGCAGCGATGCGGCGTCGCCTCGCGATGCTTCCCCTAGCGTAGATGGCGGGCGGGCGCGCGGCATCGCAAACGGCCATCCAGGCGAAAATCTGTCAGCGAAGTGCAACGCTGCGCGGGGTCTCAAAAGCAACTGGCACACCACCTCTCCTCAACGCAAGGTAGACACCACGCCCAGGCTCGCATCTGGGCTGCTCCTTGGGAAGAGCAGCAGGGCGGCGGAGGGGAGGGGGAAGAGGACGCGAACTGAGCATGCCCCTGAAATCGAGCTCGACGAACCATCCTGGCGAACCCTGCACAGGCCTCCAAAGGTGATGCGAAGGACAGCGAAGAAATTATATACACTTCTCGATGTGTGCGTGTCATCCTTGCGCAGAGGGCCATGCTAATCTTCTCTGTATCGTTCGAATTTTAACGGATGCCAGAGTCAGAGGCCTCTCGAGGTCTTCAGAAGCCCCTGGAGGTCCCTGCAACTCTCCAGCCATCCTCGGCAAGCCATCAAACGTTGCATGCTTGAGGTGATGCAGCAAGGCGGCAGCGTCACGGACTCGGCACGCCAGGTCTGAATACTTCTCCTTGTCCGCAACTTGTCGGTGTCACGGAATACATCGCGGAGTGCTCCCCGGAGCAACACGACAAATTGAATGTTGCACCTGGCAGGTGAAAATACAAGTATACCTGAAGTCGCGGGCCGTAAAGCGGGGCCCGCTCCCGAGCAGATCGGAGTCTTCAGGCTTTGGTGCAAAGTCGTGCACGGGCATCTGCAACGAGCACAGAGGCCAAGTACATACCGAGCACGTCCAAAGACAGTTATCCTCCAACCTCGACCCTCGTGGAGCTCCAGCCAACACAATCCACTCAAAGTCAATCCCTGGACACTCACCCCGAGGTCTGTCCTGGCTGAGTTTCCGAGCCGCGTCCAGTCATGGCGGCGAGAACCTCCAGACCCCCCAAAACAAAACAAAATCTCCGAAACGGAGACGTCGACGTCTTCGGCGTCGACTTCCTCCGACCTCGACCCTGCACGCACTGATCCCGCGGACCCCCTTCCTGAGGGACGACGATAGGGGGGAATCGGCATAGGGGGGCAACACGGACCTGGAATGGACGATACATCGCCGACAGATCAGCGATAGGCCCCACATAGCGAATCCGCGCCTTCCTGGGCAGGCTGGGGCTATCGGGCCCCCATCGGCGATCTCTGGGCGGTTGGGGGTCGATGCGTCCCCCCCTCCTCCTCCTCCTCCTCCTCCTCCTCCTCCTCCTCCTCCTCCTCCTCCTCCTCCTCCTCCTCCTCCTCCCTCCTCCCTCCTCCCTCCTTCGCCTTCCTCCCTCCCCCTCCTCCCTCCTCCCTCATCCCTCCTCCCTCCTCCCTCCTCCTCCTCCTCCTCCTCCTCCTCTCCTCCTCCCCTCCTCCTCCTCCTCCTCCTCCTCCTCCTCCTCCTCCTCCTCCTCCTCCCCCCCCTTGTCGTTGCCCGTGGATCTCCTTCTCGGCGGACAGCTGCTCCGCGGAGGCCGGCTCGTCGAGCAGCACCATCAGCGCCTGGCCGAACGGCGCGGCGCCCCCCCATCGGCAGGAAAATTGGCAGGGGCGTGCACAGACGCCCCGTATACTAAGGATGCGCGATAAGGGTGCACTGGGACGCACAGGACATACTGATAGCACATATGTCCTCCCTGGAGGCGCGCGTCCGGCCCGAACATATAGCACACCCATCTTGTAGTGCCTCGTTTCCCGAGAAGTGTGGCCAGAAACCGCCCGCCACGACGCATATGCTGTGAGATTTCTCGGTGCGCGCGTCGCCCCTAGAAGGGAGACGCACACATGTGTAGAAGTATGTTTGAAGGGGCCCTGGGACACACAAATAAATATACACAAATAAACATATTCCCCATATTTTCTGGGTTTTCGTCTTCCCCCCCCACTTCCCATATTTTCCCATATTTTCTGGGAAATCGACAATTAATTGTGTCTGTGTGTTTTTTCCCCTCCTGAATGTTTTCGGGCGACGCCGATGCAAGGGCCTTGGACGCCGATTTCGAAGCTTGTCGAGCGGTGCGCGGCCAACGAAACCGGGACGGACCGAGGAGGCCAGGATGCAAGGGTGCCCGTGGGAAGGATTCCCATCCTTTTTCTTGTCTTCTGCTTTCTCCACAAGATCAGCGCACTGCATCTTCTATTCCACTCAGTGGGATAACAGGCTTCTGAGCACAGAGCTAACTTACACAAGAGTGTACGGCATCTTCTATCCCACTTAGTGGGATAACAGGCTACTGATGAGCACAGAGCAAACCTACACTATGCGGGTTGATTGTAGGAAGAGGGCACTCCTCGGTGGCGCGTCGGTCTGGGGTGTCCGATGCATGCGGGGTGCTCGGGGCGCCCGGCGCCGGGGTGTCCCGGACGCGCTGGGTGACCGGGAGGCCTTGGGGCCCAGGGTGTCCAGGGTGCGGCGACGACGAGTGCGACGGGAGCGCATCTGAGGACGACCGATGTGGCGTCGGTATCGACGGATACGAGGGCTGCGGCGCCTTGGACGATGACGACGAGGACTGCAACGATCAACCATTGTAAGACGGCGCGTAGAGCAGATGGACGACGGCACGACCCCTTCGAGGTGCAGTTGTCGCTGCGGACTGTCAGGGTCAAACTGCAGTCGCAGGCTCGTCCTGGGCACAGAATGAAGTCACAAGGTCGCACACGGGCCATCGCCACCTCAGGAGCAATCTCCCCGAGATACCAGCGCCGGCCCAGGAGTCGAGAGGCCCCGCTGGGCGGATGCAGCCAGGGGCTTCCTCCTCCTCATCCTTCTCCTCCTCCTCCTCCTCCTCCTCCTCCTCCTCCTCAAGCTGGGGCGGCGCAAGCAGGCCAGCAGCTTCCTGGGGATCTTGGCCTCGTGGTCTCGCTCTGGGGTCATCTCAGGGCCACGGTGCCGGTCGGTGCTGAAAGCGAGCAGGCTGTACGACGCCTCGCCTCCTCCTCCTCCTCCTCCTCCTCCTCCTCCTTCACCTCCTCCTCCTCCTCCTCCGAGGAGGAGGAGGAGGAGGAGGAGGGTGGACAAAGTGGCCGTGAGCGCGCACGAGCGGCTCAGAGTCGCGTGCAGACGCCCACCACAGAGGCGGGCAGCTTCGCTGGTGGCGCCCGTCCCTCGCAGGCTGCCAGGGCAGCTGCTCCGAACACTCCTTCGGCGGCGAGCGAGCGGGGAAAATGAGACGGAGAAGGCCTCCTCCTCCTCCCCCTCCCCCCTCCCCCCCCTCCTCCTCCTCCTCCTCCTCCTCCTCCTCCTCCTCCTCCTCCTCCTCCTCCTCCTCGCCCTCGCGCCGTCTGAGAGGTTGTTTCTGTCGTCGGGGAAGGCTTAGACAACTTCCCAGAAGGCCGGGGGACTTCCGGGCCTTCTGAGAGGGCCCGCCCCTTCTCACTTCCCCCCTCGCTCGCCGCCGAGTGGTGGATGGACGGTGGAGGGGTCGACGTATCATGGTGCACGGGTGCACCTCGCCGTCGCCGAACATTTTGAGCTGCTGAGGCCGACCATTTGCGGATTCGAGCCCGAGCTGGGCCCTCAAAGGTTCGCCATTGGACCACAGCGATTCTCCTCAAGTGTATCAAGTCACCCGCGGCATTTGCCGCCTCGACGTGTCTTCTCGAACTCCTTCACATTCTGTAACGCGCATCCTGCGCGCAGTGACACGAGCACGATGCCCTGAAAGCGTACGCAGGACAAGGCTGCATGCCCCTGGAACGCATCGCGTCGACGTGGATGCCTCCAGCACTGCAGTCTGGGCCCGGTGGAACAGATCGCTTGGGCGCCCGAGTTATCCGGGGTAACTCGGGTCCGGGGTAACTCGGGTTCGGATTCCCGAAAAAGGAACCCGAGTTAGCCCTGACCCGAGTTACCCCTGATGATGTGGGGCTCTGGACGCCCGAATTCTCCGGGGTAACTCGGGTCCAGGGTAAGTCGGGTTCGGATTCCTGAAAAACGAACCCGAGTTAGCCCTGACCCGAGTTACCCCTGATGATTCGGGGCTCTGAATCGCTGTCGCATCGCGACAAGAAGCTCCTCGCCATCTTCGGGGGCCACCAAAAGGCTCACACGGGGTGTCAAGCGGCAGGCGTGCTCGACGCGCGCCGGCAAACGCTCGCCCGCCTCCACCACGTGATCCAAGACTGCTCGCACGCCCTCGGGGAACGAGCAGCGACCACTGGAGATCTACGCCTTCCCTCCTCCCTCCGGCGCACCCAACCCTGGGTGACGTCTAAAATCAGGGGGACATAAGACCTGGGTACAGGGGACTCGGAAATCCCCGACGAGGTCGTCAAACGAGGCCGAGCCTGCATTTTGACGAGGCCTCCCGCTGCAGACATCCCACGAAACTCCTCCTCGTCAGAATCCGAGGCGCGGTCGTCAAAAAACGATGGCGAACCCGAGTCCTGGCAAACCCGGGTCTTACGCTCCCCCGATAAAGCAGGGTAGACCACATCCGGCGCAGGGCGGTCCCGGGAGAAGCGCGGAACCATGCAAGCGGCAGCGTTCCGACACGGACTGGCCATCGTCTCTGCCAAGTTCGGCCTCAGCGGCGGCTCTGGGCTCGACCAGGAGCTCGCCCGTCTTCCAGCGCCACTCCAGTGTCAGGGTGGCCTGCTACCGATAGGTTTAAGTCGGGCCTGTCCCCCTACAGGGGGATTTTCGACGAAAACTAAAAAGTACTTCCTAAATCATCCAAAAATGCTCCAAAAATAGTCTGGGGACTGTTTTTGGAGTATTGTTTGACCGCTTTGGGGTATCTCTGGTGTATTTTTTTATTTTTCGTCGAAAATCCCCCTGTAGTGGGACACGCCCGACGTAACGATAGGTGTGTGGCGTCTCTCTCTCTCTCTCTCTGCCAGGTGCGGCCCGCCCTGCGTCCCCTTCTGCTACAACCCCTGCCTCCCCCGCCGTCCACATCCCCCCCCCCTCCCCCCGCCTCCCTCCTCCCTATGCCCCCTCCTCTCATCCCTCCCCCCTGCCTCCCAGCTCCAGCAATTGCCCTCCTCGCCTCGCTTCCCGCCCGCCGTTTCCTCCTCCCTGGCCTCCCCCTCCGCACCCCAGTCTCCACTCGCTGCTTCTTTTCCTCGTTCTCCAAGTCCTCCTTCTCCACTTCACACCCTGCCCCAAGCGAAGCTACGAGACGAAGCAAAGCGGTCGCCGCCTGCGCAGCCTTCTCCACCATCGACACATTCTGCTGCGAGCTGAGGTGGCCTGGCAGGTTCACCACCGAGGCACAGCGAGCTCCAGTACACTTCAAAGGGCTCAGACGGACTGCAAGCTCTCCACATATATTATGCTCCTCCTCCTCCTCCTCCTCCTCCTCCTCCTGCTCATGCTCCTGCTCCCTCTCCTCCTCCTCCTCTTCCTCCTTCTCCTCCTCCTCCTCCTCCTCCTTGTCCTGCTCCCCCCGTCCTCCCGATCGTTCTGCTCATCATGCTCGTCCTGTTGCTGCCTCTCGTCGCATGGGTCACGAACGAACTACCATGCAACAAGTACGACTGCTAGCCACAGCCTTACGCGCCCCAAGCGCGAAGGCCGAAACACAGTATTAGAACACATGATTGAAGAGGCCCTGGGACACACAAATAAATACACACAAATAAAAGGATTCCCCATATTTTCATATATTTTCTAGGTTTCTGTCTTCCCCCCCACTTCCCATATTTTTCCACATTTTCCTGGGAATCGACGATTAATTGTGTCTGTGTTTTTTCCCCTCCTGAATGATTGCCATCGTCAGCCCCAAACGATCGGCTCTTGCACTCTCGTGGTGCCCACCTGTGTGGTGTGCACCCTATGCGGCGCAACCATTTGGGCGCGGCAATCCCCAAACAGTGCCGGTTCTGAGGACTGTGTACCTGTCTTGCTTATTTTAGGGCATGTCCTCCTACAGGCCGAACTTCGAGGAGGCGCGGGGGGGGTCTCCCAAGGGGGTTCGGGGGGGGGTCAGATACGACGCCCCCCCTGGGAGTCCCGGAGCCCAACAAAAGCCCCAAGACGGGCCAAGAGTGCCCCAAGAGGCCCCAAAGACAGTCCAAAAGAACCCCGAATCGCCGAACGATCTGTCCAAGACGCCTTGACGGCCTTCAGACGGCCCAAAATGCCTGCAAAGCGCCCCAAGAGGCCTCCAGGAACTGTCCCACGAGAGCCCCAAGAGGCAAAAAGACATGGATTCCCCATACGTTTTTGAAGGATGTTGGCGTTCTTGCCTCTTCCGCTTCCCGACGCGCCAAGACGGCCCAAGAGGCACCTAAGATCGCCCCGAGACGGCCCAAGACGCCCCCAAGAGGGTCCCCTAACGGCCGAAGAGACCCCAAGACGGCCCAAGACGCCTCCAAAACGACCCAAAAGGCCCCCAAGACGGCTCCAGGAGAGTGCCAGACGGGGGACCCGAACGGACATTTCGAGCTCTCAGCCCTAAAAGGCCCCCAAGAGGCCCCGAAGAAGCCCCAGGAGGCCCCAAGAGGCTCCCAAGGGGCCCCCCCAAACTGCCCCAAGACAGCCCAGGAAAGCTCCAAATTGCCCAGGAGGCCCCCAAGAATGCCTCGAGACTGCGCAAGAGGAGCCCTGGATGGCCCAAGACGGCCTCAAGAGAGCCCCAGGCTGTCCCAAGAAAGCCTTTGGCCTTCTCTTCCCCCTCCCCCATCCCCCTCCCTCCCCCTCCCCCCCTCCCCATCCCCCTCCCCTCCTCTCCTCTCTCCTCCTCTCTCTCCTCTCCTCCTCCTCCTCTCCTCCTCCTCCTCCTCCTCCTCCTCCCCCTCTGCTCCCCTCCTCCTGCTCTCCTCTGCCTCCTTCTCCTCCTGTTGCTTCTCCTCCACATCCTTCTCCCCCCTCCTCCTCCCTCATCCACCTCCTCCACCCTTCCTCCACCTCTCACTCATGCTCATTCCCCTGCCACCCCCGTTTTCATCTTCGTCGTTCTCAGGGTCGGCGGCACCGGCCGTAAGGCCTTCGCAATATGAATCCATATCATGCCAGCCAAGCCGGTAACGGCCCCCCCGCCCCATCATCGTCAAACCACACGCTGCGCGCACACTCGCTCATCAAACAACATTCAGGTGCAAACATCACTCGCGTTCACGAAATGTACACGCGCGCGTCGTCACTCGCGCATGCCGGAAACCTACAGATAACTCTAGGTGCCCTACGGATTTCGAGATCGATTGCCCCGAACACGTGCGGCGCACATGGTTGCACAACATGTTTCGTTTCACAAAGGTATGCGCGCGCTCTTTCGAAATCTTCAGAAAGCCGTTCGCGTTCAACCTAGCGGCCAAGAGGGGGGTGTCCAAGAAGGGGGGGTGCAAATCATGACCGGCGGCATGTGCGCGGCCAGCGGGGGGGCCAGGGACGTAATGAAATAAGGAGAGGCGCCATGAAATCTGGGGAAATATCATGGCCCCCGCCATGATATCCACCCCCCCTAGTCATCACCCCCCCCTTTTCCGCTCCCGAACAATGTAACAACGTCGTCGATAAATCTGCGATGGTCCTCGGTCGCAGAACCGCACGTTCCTGGGCAAGGTGGGCTATCGGGCTCCTGTCGGCGATGAGTGCGCGCTGGAGTGTCGATGCATCCTCAGGCAGCCCACTTGAGGAACAACGATAAGGGGGGGACTGGCATAGGGGGGGAGGCATCGACCTGGAATCGACGATACTTCGCCCACAGACCGGCGATAGGCCCCCGATGGCGAAACCGCACCTTCCTGGACAGGTCTCTGCCCAGACATGCGACGTCCTGACTTTTTCAGGACGGCGCCCACGGAAGCCCAGACCCTTTCCCCGGGACCAGTGTTTCATCCTGAGTCGTTTTTTGACGGTCCCGGCGGGGCCCGGCGAGGGCCTCCAGGGCCGAACATGGCGAAACACTTCCCGCCCTGACTTTTTTACGACGCCACCATGTCCGGGATGGGCACGCCAGGACGCTTCGCCACTGCTCGAACGTGTAGCCGCGTCGGCCGAGGAGGTGCGGCGCCGCAGGCCACGTCCCCGGGGCACGCGGGCGGCCAGCCCGCCCAGTGCGCTTCCTCTGCAGTCAGCACGTGCCATGGGACGCACGGTCCTCCTGCTTCCTGCTCCTCTGGGTCTCCTCCTCCTCCAACTCCTCCAACTCCTCCTCCTCCTCCTCCTCCTCCTCCTCCTTCTCCTCCTCCTTCTCCTCCCCCCCTGCCGTTGCCCCCGACCACAGCGGCCGGCCCGCCGGGCCCCCTCCCCCCCCTCGCAGCGCGGCTGGCCCGCCTGCGTAAGGCAGAGCGCCACGGCCGGGCTCGTAGCCAAACCTCTCGGCCCCCCCGGGCATGGGACGACCAGCCAGGGAAGGAGGAGGAGGAGGAGGAGGAGGTGAAGGAGAGGAGGAGGGGGGGGGGCGGGGGAGGAGGCGGGGAGGAGGGGGAGGGGAGGGGGGGAGGAGGAGGAGGGGAGGAGGAGGGGAGGAGGATGAGGAGGAGGAGAGAGGAGAGGAGGAGGAGGAGGAGGAGGAGGAGGAGGAGGAGGAGGGCGGAGGAGGAGGAGGAGGCGGAGGAGGAGGAGCGGAGGATGGGGGGAGGAGGAGGAGAGGAGGAGGAGGGAGGAGAAGGAGGGAGGGAGGAGGAGGGGGAGGAGAAGGAGGAGGGGGAGGAGGAGGAGGAGGAGGAGGAGGAGGAGCGAGGAGGAGCGAGGAGGAGCGAGGAGGACGCCGAGGGAAGCCCCAAGATAATCATCCCCCAGACGGTCCCCAGGAGGGTCCAAACGCGCAAACTCCTGCGATAGAAAGCCAAGACTGGGAACGACGCAGTCGACGAGGACGACGGGAGAGAACCTTCAGGAACCGCCCCTGTTCCCAAAGCACGGGCGCCACAGAGGAAACGTCAATGTATGAACCAACCCTCTTGGAACACACAGTAAGACTCAGTAAGACCCTTCCCTAGGACAGTTGGTCAACAAGGGCGTCTTTCGAATCAAATATCCACATCGACCTGTCCCAGAACCCCTGTGGCCTGGGGTGGGCCAATAAAAATGAGACGGCCAATCGATGCGGGCGCCTTCCCCTGGAGCGCGCGGCGGTCCGCGACGGGGTGCTGGACCGAAGACAGACATCCGCCACCAAGGACCCCGACGCATTCCGGGCAAAGATTTTGCAGGGGTCCGCCGAAGCGGCGGGCGGGGGCGGAACCCCGCGATGCGCCCCCCCGAAAACGGCCCCAGACCAAGCCGAGGTGGCCCCAAGACGGCCTCAAGACCACTCAAGATTGCCCCGAGATGGTTCCACCGACACTCTTCGGGAAAGGTCGGTCGGTCCCAGGAGGGCCCGAAATCAACCCCAGGACTCGAGGAGGAGGAAGAGAAGCAATACGGCCCCATAGAGGTGTTCTACCAAGACTCTGCTCCATGAAACCGTCGCGATCAAGCCAGCCCCAAGACCGACAGCATGCCTCAAAGAGGCCGCTCTGAAGCCCCAGAAATGCACCCGAGAAGGCGGCGCAGTGACCACAGAAAGTTATGGCGCGTTCTACGGAACCTGTTCGGGGGGAGGTCAGATCGGCAGAACCGTCCTGCATAAATCCCACCAGCCCTCTGGGAGGAGGTGGTTTAAGGCGCCTCCTCTTTCATCCTTCGGAGAAATCAGCCACGGCTGCTCTCCTCGACGATCCCCAGAATGTCGTCGTCGTCGCCGCCGCCGCCGCCGCCGCCGCCGCCGCCGCCGCCGCCGCCGTCGTCGTCGTCGTCGTCGTCGTCGTCGTCGTCGTCGTCGTCGTCGTCGTCGTCATCGTCGTCGTCGTCGTCGTCGTCGTTGCCGTCGTCGTCGTCGTCGTCGCCGTCCTCGCCGTCGTCGTCGTCGTCGTCGTCGTCGCCGTCGGGCAGGCACGGCGGCGCGAGCGTGCGAACGAGCGCTCTGCTCCCCCGTCCCCTTCGGAGAGGAGGTCACACCTCTTTCGGGCGTTGGCAGAACTGGGTTTAGTGGAACCTAGTTTAGTGATTTGTACCGGGGGCGCCCCCCCGTCCCATTGCCACTAACTGGAACTGCCGTCACCCGAAAAACACCAAATACGGCAAACCTGGTTTAGTGAATCTGGCCAATTGAGGGGCCCCAAGGCCCTACCACTCACCGGGTCCCCTTACCCAGGGTCCTGGCTATACCCGACTCTTGAGCAAAGACCGACCGTCCTGGCATTCCGCAAAAATGTTCAAAAAGCAGTGTTCTTGGAACATCAGCCCGACGTGTTACAAACCACGACAGTCTCAGCCAGACATGTTCCGAGGACATTGTTCCTGCAGACCACGAGAGGCTCTTGGAGCATCCTTTGGCAGGCCTACACGTAGGCGAACCAGGACGCTTCGCCACTGCTTGAACCCCCACATACCCTCCCCCCCCTGGTGGGTCGTGGGTGGGTCGCGGGGTGGGTCGCAAGTGGGTCGCGGATGGGTCGCGGGGTGGGTCGCGGATGGGTCGCCGGGTGGGTCGCGGGTGGGTCGCGGGGTGGGTCGCGGGGTGGGTCGCGGGGTGGGTGGGTCGCGGGGTGGGTGGGTCGCGGGGTGGGTCGCGGGTGGGTCGCGGGGTAGTTCGCGGGGTGGGTCGCGGGGTGGGTCGCGGGTGGGTCGCGGGGTGGGTCGTGGGAGGGTCGCGGGGGAACCAACAACAACAACAACAACAACAACAACAACAACAACAACAACAATCACTTTACCCGAACGCTCAGTGTTCTCACCAGTGCCAGGGTTTTCATGCGACGCCAGCCAATACCCCCACTTTGTGGGGGGGCAGTGCAAGCTCTACCAAATATCCACACGACTCTTCGCCACCACCCACACCCAGCTTCCCGCCCTATGACGTTCGGACACTTCACTTCGTGGCCTGCGGACGACCGTGGCTACTACACTGGCGTGGAGTACACACCCACAGAAGTTGTTAAGCCTACGTTCGTACACCCACAGAAGTTGTTAAGCCTTGTTAACCCACAGAAGTTGTTAAGCCTTCCAGTGAACGTTTCTGTTGACAGTGATACATGATAACATGATACCATGGTTTTGGAGATTTCGGCTGCGCGCGCGAAAAAAAACGAATGTGTCCCTGGTTTATCCGATACAGGGGATGATGTGGCAGGTGCGCAACCGTTGTCGCAGAAGTTCGAAAAAGTTGCTCGCAAAAGCCCGTTTGACAGAAATGTTTAAAAAGTGTTGGTTTTCCTACGAATCCGCAAGAGCGCGCGGGATGAGATTTTGACATTTTTTTGTTGAAAAACCATTGGTTTTTTGATGTTTTTATGTTAAAATCGCTCCGAACACTAAGCTTTTGGAAGGATTTCGTCTTGCGCGCGCGAATGTCCACTTTACCTTATTTTTTGCAAGGGATTCTTGAAATTTGATTATATTAGAACAAGAAATGTCATTTTATAGTGTTTTTTGCAAGGGAAACGGATTACAACAAAACAACCGGATCTGGATCACATCGTTTTTCCTGAGGCTTCCTCACGAAAATGATGAAAATGTAGCTGCGGCCTAGGCGGCGCAGGGGGGGCGTGCACCAGGGGGCCCAACAATAATTATTCTTTAGAAGTAATAATATTCAACAGCAGCAGCAGCAACAGCAGCAGCAGCAGCAGCAGCAGCAGCAGCAGCAGCAACAACAACAACAACAACAACAACAACTGTCACCATTTCCGAAAAATGCCCCTTGAAAACGGAAACGGCAAAAAATGGAGACCGGAAGCGGCAACAAAAACGGTTCCAGGTTGGAACCGGAGCGGGAACCTTTAAACAAACGGCGACGGAACCGGTACAAAAAACGGCGTCGGAACCGGCAACAAAAACGGCCAAACGGAACCGGTAAAGAGACGGCCCTGTCGTTTCCAGGGCCCACTAAGTGCTTGAACCCCCCCCAATGCCCTCCCCCCCCTGTGTGGGGGGTGCGAGCGGTCAGGGCGTCGAAGGCGGCCTCCGCGAGGCGGCACGCCTCCCTCGTTCGCCCTAGGCTGAAGGGGCCCCAGGACACACAAGTAAATACACACAAAGAAAAAGATTCCCCAGATATTTTCCCACATCTTCTCTGGGTTCTCGTCTTCCCCCCCACTCCCCCCATACTTTCCCATACTCTCCTGTGTTTTCTTGTTCCCTCCTCTGGGAGGCAGCGGGAGTAGAGCATGCGGCCGCAGAAGGTCCACGGAGGAGGAGGAGGAGGAGGAGGAGGAGGAGGAGGGAGGAGGAGGGAGGAGGAGGAGGAGGCGGAGGAGGGGAGGAGGGGGATGGAGGGGGAGAGGAGGGGGGAGGAGGGGTGAAGGAGGAGGAGGAGGAGGAGGAGGAGGACGAGGAGACGATCAATTGTGTCTGTGTGTTTTTGTTGCTCCCTCCTGATAGGCACCCCGCTCCCGCTGCGCTCCACGGGGGGGGCGATGCTCGCCGAGGGCCCCGCCGGCGCCTTCGCCGGCGGCCTCCCACGTGGCCCCATAGGGCGGCCCGCGCGGCCCCCGCGCACGGGGCCCGGCAGCACCGCGCACGGGAGCACAGACGACTCCAGAAGCAAAATCAAACAACAGACATTCAACAAAAGCAGAAAAGCAACATACATATACATATGTATATATATATATAGCTATATATATAACTATAGATATATAAATACAAAACGACAGGCAACAACTCTGGTGCTTCCGGCCTGTTTCGTCGTGCGGGGCTCGGTCTTCTGTGCTGTGGCTGACGCGCGAAGAAAAAAACAAAAAAACGGTGCCGGCGAGCTGCAGAGCGCCCTGGGGGGGGGGGCCGCCTCGCTCCCCTTCTGCCTCCTCCTCCCCCCCCTCTCCTTCCTCCTCTCTTACTCCTCCTCCTCCTCCTCCTCCTCCCTACCTCCCTCCTCCTCCTCCTCCTCCTCCTCCTCCTCCTCCCCTTCTCGCCCCCTCGTCGAGGAACACGACGTTCACCAAGGAGAAGAAGAGCGTGGCGGCGTGCGGCGCATCCTGGAGGCAGGCCGCAGCGGCCATCGACCCCCACAGGACCGTCGAGGCCGTCACGCGCACGCCCCTCTCCGCCTCCCCTCCTCTCTCCGCCTCTCCTCTCGGCCTTCCCGCTCGTCCCCCCCCTCCGTTGCTCATTTTGTTGTTTTCTCTCTCTCTCTCTCTTGCTTCTCTCTCTCTCTCTCTCTCTTTCTGTTGCTTCTCTCTCTCTCTGTATTTCTTCTTTCTCTTTTGTGTTCCTCTCTCTCTCTCCTTCTGTCTATATCCGCCGCCGTGCCTCGAAGCACGAAGTGGAGTGCTACCCCGCCACCGCGCCTCGAGGCACACAGTGGGGTACTCCTCAGGCCTCTAGACTCTAGAGTAAGTACTCTGCATTCTGCATTCAATCTTGTAAACAGTGGAGGCCAGTCCACAAGAAACCTTCCACAAGAAGCCCAACACTGATACCCCGGGGCGTCCCTTGATTCTTGGTGTGGAGACGGCACGCTTTCCACAGCAGGACCATCAAAACCCAGGAAACCCAAGGCACCCTGGAGGCGAGCAGGGTGTTTCCTGGCATGGGCCCCCACTTCGGCTTTGGACAACCCTCCCTCTAGTACACCTCCCTTAAGTGAGAACGGCCCGGGACCGAAACCGACGGACCTGGACCCGCAAAAAGGACGGCCGCGACGCCCCCTCGCGAACCGAAAACGGCCAACTCCTGAATCGACGTGTCAGGGTGGGAGGTCTGTCCACCCCCGACCACTGTATCCTCATCCAGGGGCAGGGAGCCCCAGGATCTGGTCCCGCGCGCTCCCGGGCCTGGCCGCGCGACGAAGGCCCCTCTGACGGGCCAAGGGGGCCCCTGGAAGTGCCCACGAGGGCCCGAGAGGCGTCCGAGATAGCCCGAGAGCGCCCCCGGACGTCCAGGAGGGCCCCAAGGGCTGCCCCAAAGAGCCCTCCAAGACGCCCCAAGAGGCCCCCGAGAGGGCCCCAAGAGGCAAGAACCATTTGGGCGTTTCCGCGGTTGCGAGATTTTGGTGTCTGGAGAAGTTGGCGTTTCCGCATGTTCGGGTTCCCGACGCTCCAAAACTGTTCAAAAGGTCCGCCAAATCGCCCCAAAGAGGCGCAAGAGGCCCCCAAGAGCCCAAGAGGGTGTCGAGACGACCCAAGAGGCCCCCAAGACGGCCCAAGAGGGCTCCGAGGCGGCTCAACGAGGGCCCGAAGATCGCCCCAGGAGGGATCCCAGAGGGGGAATACGAACCGACATGTCGAGCTCTGCGCCCCCACAAGGCACCCAAGAGACCTCCTTGAGACCCCAGGAGGAGCAGGCGGAGGAGGAGGAGGAGGAGGAGAAGGAGGAGAAGGAGGAGCAGGCGGAGGAGGAGGAGGAGGAGGAGGAGGAGGAGGAGGAGGAGGAGGAGGAGAAGGATGAGCAGGCGGAGGGAGCAGCAGGAGGAGGAGGAGGAGGAGGAGGAGGAGGGAGGAGGAGGAGGAGGAGGGAGGAGGAGGAGGAGGAGGAGGGGGAAGAGGAGGAGGAGGACGACGAGGATAGGCCGCCGGGGCGGCTCGGACGCGGGGCCCGGCAACCGGCCTCCACCCGGCCTGGCGGCGCTGGAGGAGAAGCGCCCGCGGCGCCGCCGCCCAGAGACCCAGACGAGAAAGGCAGGGCGGAGGCATTCTTGCCGTGTTCGGCCTCCAGAGGCCCTCGCCGGGCCTCGGGGCCGTCGAACATCGGCTCGGGATGCAAAACCGGCCCTGGGGAATGGTTGTGCGGACCCAGCTCGAGTAGCAGACCGAGTTCAGACCTCTAGATGCTTCAGACGAACGCGCCTGATGATTCTGAATCGATTACGTGTGCGTACCAGCTCTGAAGCTCTCCTCTACAATTCGGAAAGGGTTGGGGCTTCCCGGGGCCCCGGATGGAAAAAAAACACGACGTCGGATATCTGGGCAGCCGCCTCGCCAGCGGGTGTGCCACGCCCGCCCTGGTCGTCTGCCTCCCCTGGCTGGGGGGAGGGGCTCACGGCGGAAGGCTCGGCCCGGAGATCGCGTCGGCGCGGAAGCTGGCCTTGAGCAGCGGCGGCGGCGGCGGCAACCCGGCGGGTTGCCATCAGCTTCGACCAGGATGCGAACTTCGGGTGGGTGCTCCAGCTGCGGAGTGGCGCTTCTGGGACGCGGCGTGCGAGAAGCTCGGGGAGAAGGCGCCGCCCGGCATCACCCGGAGCCCGCCGAGGCTGCCTGCCCGCGGGGCGTCCGTGCTTGCCGAGGTGGAGGAGGACGGGGAGACCTTCCTGTGCCGTCGCCGAGGAGCTCGGCGACGAGGACCTCTGGACGAGTGGCTCGAAGGAAGAGAGGTCCGGGCCTGGTCGGGACCCCCGCGTGCTGCTGCTGAAGCGGGAGGTCGGACTTGCAGTGCACCCCTCGACGAGGGAGGGCGTGGCCGCGGTGACGTTTTTTTCGGGACGGGCGAGACGCCCGACGGCTGGATCGTCCCTCCTGCTGCTCCCCCATGCGGTCCGCGAGGTGCTGATGGCGGCCCGCGCGGCCAAGGAGGAGCTGGTGGGGTTCCACGCCTACTGTTAAGTCGGGCCTGGCTCCCTACAGGGGGATCTTGGCAAATATAAGAAAGACTCAAAAATACCCCCAAAATGCCCAAAAGTAGTCAAAACATCGTCCCCAGACTACTCTTTTTGACTATTTTTGGATCTCCCTCCTGTAGAGGGACAGGCCCGACGTAAGACTACTGGGTGCGCGCCTTGGGGGTCAACCCAGACTCACCAGTGAAGCATCGAGAGTCTCAAGTGCACACCAACAGCTACGAATCTGGAGCCACAGCTTAACCCAAACAAAATTCAAAACAACAAATTGACCCCAAAAACCGTCACACCAAAACGACAACGGATTTCCGTTTTAATCGCTTTCCCTGCCCCTTTCTGGGGCCATTCCTACAGACGACCCCGTTCTCTGACCCCCGGACAAACCCAAATCGAGACCTCGTGGCGATCCTCCACCACATGCTGAGCGTCGACCAACCCAGCCTGGGGCAGAGAGGGCGGGCCGCCCCATCTTGCAAATCCATCAGGCCACAAAATGGGAGGAGGGGGAGGAGGGGGAGGACGGGGATTAGGAGGAGGAGGAGGAGGAGGAGCAGCAGGAGGAGGAGGAGACGGAGCAGGAGGAGGAGGAGGAAGAGGAGGAAGAAGAGGACCCCGAAAACCAGGACTTCAGAGGGACGGAGCTGATGACCACGTCGACGCGGGACTCCTCAGATGGTGTGCTTGCAGGAGACTTCGCTCGCTGGACGGCCGAGGAGCAGAAGTCGGCGGCCTTTACGATGAAGCAGCAGCGACTCGACCAGGAAGAGGAGGAGGACAAGCGGCGCGGCCAGAAGGACAAGGACAAGGACGAGGACAACAAAAACGAGGACAAGGGCTAGCCTCCACAGTTAAGGCATCGCGGTGTCCTCCTCCGCCGGCGTCGTCATGGTCGTCAGGGGCGGGCAGCTTCTGCTAGCACTTCGCCTTCGACAGGCGGCGGAGAGTCGAGGTGGCGCTCGCCATCTTGCCCGTCAGCAGCGCCGGCGCGCCAAAGTGGAGTCGCTGGTCGAGGGGACCGTAGCGTCTCTGAGTGCCATGGCGCGCTGCGAACCGGGAAGGGCTCTTCGCGCCGAGGAGCGCCGCCGCCTTTTTGGTGCTGACATCTTGCCCGTGCAGCACGGACGCTGTGCAGCCTCTCGTGCAACTCTGTACTTCGTGCCCGTGCCAGTCGCTTCCGGTGAGTTCCCCGATGGCGCCCTGGCCGGGCTGGACCAGCATAAGCCTACCTGCGACCTGGACGCGAACACCGCTCAGGCGGACTACGACCGCACGAAGCTCCTGGTGCACCGCTGGATGCCGTGGACGTGGTGCGGGATGAGTGCCAGAGGTACCTCGAGGACCCCGACAGCCTCATCGTGCTGCCGCCCGAGGGCTCTGGGGCGGTGGGCACCCCCGTCAAGGCGCAGTGGGACCCGCGGTTCTCGCGTCCCGGGTCGGCCAAGCGCGACTTCATCGTGCGACTCGACGAGGTCGGCCTGACAGCGTGGCGGCTTCGGGCACGCGCCGACCAAACGAATTAGTTCCCGTAAGGTATTCCGTTCGGTTTCAACTGCGGAGATGATCATGCAAGAACAACTTTAAACACAATGGTTTCTCGCCCGTTGAGATCTGAACCGTTTCCCTTTTCTGTCGGGCGGGAGGCAGTGGGGGGGGGGGGCAAAGTAGGGAGGGTGAAGAAGAAAAACTGCACTCAGGGGCCCTTTGAGGGCCCCTTTGGGCACACGCTGGCCCAAAGGGGGAGGAGGGGGAGGAGGGGAGGAGGAGGAGGGGGAGGAGGAGGGGGAGGAGGGGGAGGAGGGGGATGAGGGGGGGAGGAGGCGGAGGTGGAGGAGCAACTCCGTCAACCTGGCTGTCACAAACTACATCCGCGCCTCTAAAGACAGTGCCCACGCCGACAAGCTGACCAAGGTGCTCAGACCAGACGGCCCCATCGGGGCGGGCACCACGCCATCACGTGACAACGGCGACAGCAACTTCATTTGCTACGAGTGCGGAATAGTAACCAAGACAAAGCAGGGCATGGCAATACATATCGGACGGGAACACCGACGACCTGATCATCCGCGAAACTGGGCATCGGGTACATCGTGCAGAATATGTCGCCAGAACTTCCACTCCTTCGCCAAGCTAGTGAAGCATCTAACCACGGTAGCCCGATGCCGACGGTCATGGTATATGTGGTATTTACAAGGACCTGCCCTCACTGAGGAGGACGTGGCCACCAATCAGGCGATCTACGCGGCCAGCATAGCAGACAACAAACGCAGAGGCCGCCCCGAACTATACCATCCCATCCCTGCCCACGCATCCGACGTCACCCCCTTACCCTCCCTTGACCTATCACCTTCACCACCGCCCTTTTTCCCGACTGTAGCAGAGCTTACACCACCACCACCAGCCCACTATCCTCGGACACCGACCAGAAACAGATCCCTGCTTTACCTCACCAACACCGATAGACACCCGAACGATCTGCTCGACATCACGGACCAACGACTATGCTACAATGGAATGGTGATGAAACTGGCTACTATGACCTTCGACGATCTCTACTCCGCCGAACACCCATCCCAGTACGACGCCCTTGACTTGATCCACCAGCACATTCGACAGGGTGACTTCGCAGGAGTGACGATCAACCTCTCACCCAACACTTGGACCGACCAAGGTGATGGCGACATCCACGACAGAACGGCAGCATCCTCCAGAACAACCTCGGACCCATGGGGAAGAGTAAACCTTGGAGGCAAGGCAGCAGAACGTCGACTGATCGCGAACCACCATGCCCGCCTCGCCATCCACATCTTCCATGCCGCCCACATTGCAGAAGTACCTGTACTACTAGCGCAATCCGCAGCCCCAGCAGGTCCGTCGCTGATGTGGACGACCGAGCAGATGCACTACGCTACGGAGAGAACTGCCACGAGAAGACCGACCAGGATTGACTCCACCAGCAACCTCTACGCCATTTACGACGGCACCTCCCACGAGCACAGCAGCCCACTCGACGATTTCGTCGACTCCGTCTTGAGCAGCCTGCTCCCTGGAGGTCGGACTGCAGCCTGCAGATCCGACGACCCGAGCTGGCCGTAACAGGGCCCAAGAGCTTCGAGGCGGACGCCTACCGCGGCAAGATGACCGTAGGGATCAAGGCGGCCGCCGACACCATCACGAACGCCCCCTCAATGGAGAGGGGGGGGAGGACACGGTCCAGGCGTGACCTGGGCCGCCGCCCGCGTGAAGGCCTCATGGGGGTGGACTCCCTTCCTCCCCAGGCCTTTAATGAGCCCCCTCCCCCCGCCCCGCTTTGCCACCCCCATGTGGCCTCTCCCTCTTCCTTCCCTCTGCCCCGAAACTCCTGGGCACCCTTTTTTTTCTCGGCCCCTTTCGGCCCCCGCCCCTCCCCCTGCGAGGCCTAGGCGGCTTCACACCCTTGCCCTCCTGGCGGGGGCCCGTGTCGGGGGGGTGGCCCCCACTGCGTGCCTCGGGCGCGCGCGCGCGGCCGCGGCCGCGCGAACGGCTTCGTCTATTAGACATCGAGCCGCGAGCGAAGCGAAGCGAAGGGGGAGGAGGAGGGGGAGGAGGAGCCCCTTCAGGGCTCTCGTCTTCCCCCCCCCCCGATTTGGGTCACCACCCTTTGCCACCCGCCCGCTTCCGACCCGTTGGGATCTGACCTCGTCTGTTGGGATCTGGGAGGAGGGGGAGGAGGAGGAGGAGGAGGGAGGAGGGAGGAGGGTAGGATGGAGGAGGGCGGAGGGAGGAGGAGGAGGAGGCGGAGGGTGGAGGGAGGAGGAGGGTGGAGGAGGGAGGAGGGAGGAGGGAGGAGGGAGGAGGGAGGAGGAGGAGGAGGCGGATGGGAGGGAGGAGGGAGGAGGGAAGGGAGGGAGGAGGGAGGAGGGAGGGGGCGGAGGGGAGGAGGGAGGGAGGAGGAGGAGGAGGAGGCCTAGACCGTTCCGTTTGGGATTGGCCTGTCGCCCAGAGGACGCGATGCCCCACCGTCCCCCTCAGAGGCCCCCCAAAGGCCCCAAAGGACCAGCGGAGGGGCCCACACAGACACGGACCCCCGAAGAGGCGCCGAAGAGGCCCCCTAAGGGGACTCAAAGGCAGCGAATGGGGCCCCTCCCAAAACATCCCGAAGACAGCGAAGGGGCCCCGAAGACAGCGAAGAGGCCCCAAAGACAACGAAGATGCCCCAAAGACGGGGCCCCACAAAAAGACGCCCCAAAACGCCTTTACGATGTGCCCCTAAATACATAAGACAACTCCGATGGGCATCCAGGAAGCCTCTGGCCGGCAAGGTGCTCCCCGGGCTCTCCAAATTATGCCACGCTCTCACGATAAGGGCAGCTCTCTGGACATCGTTCCTGGATGGGAGAGTGGGGATCCACAAAGCGTCAAGACTAGACGTACCTGGTCAAGTGTCGCGCGTCGCACACTCGAATACAGCACGCCCATACGGTTCACTTGCGAAGATCGTTCATCACGTGGAATGCTCAGCAAACTGAAAGCACAGCTAAGTGTTTCTTCAATCGAAGGTGAACACGAGGACCGCTGAACACGGTTCACTCCGGAACTCAATGGCATTGGATTCGCAGTGATGCTGATATGTGTATGTGCATGTATGTGTGGTACCAATTTAGTTGAGCGCAGAGGTTAACTCGATAATGAGCACTCCAATCAACTAATACGCATCATGATATGAAAGGCAGGGGCCGCCCTCGAACCAAGGGTACGTACCCTTTGAAAGAGTCGCTGACTTAAGTCACCTACGTACCACTTCCCAGTGGAAAACTATGACCATGCTTCACACCAAGCAAGCTTGAGCACATTACGTGTGCTCACTGATCCTCCTGAGATCTAAAGCGCCTAACACTGCCTTCACCGGCGCAGCGTGGGAAAACGGTGGTGCATCGGAGCAAGCTGTCATGCGCACTCATCTATACCAAATAGGCCCTGCCCTTGGAGACTATGACGTGTCGTCGCCCTCGGACACAAGAAAGGGCAAGAAGCCATCAAGACTGACAGAGAAAGAGGGAGGTGCAGAGGAAGAGAGAAAGAGAGAGAGAGAGAGAGAGATGGAGAGAGGGAGCCCACGAGAAGGACATCGAGAGCACGAACACATGTACTGGCGGCGGGCCCACACGTACGCAGGCGTGCGCACCGCAAGACGGGTGGGACGACGGGACCCCCCCGCGGGGCCAGACGTGGTGTGATTAACGGGCGAAGAACGGCATAAAATAAACTGTTTCGCCGTCGGGGGCGCCTGCCCCAGGGCGGCTGGAAAGTTTATACCCTTACGGTGGCACCGTAGGGGTATAAACTTTCCAGCCGCCCAGGGGCAGGTGTCCCCGAATGCGAAAAATGTTGTTTTATACCATTCTTCGCCCGCTGATGTGAGACGTGCGCCGAAGCTGGGAGGTGCCGCCCTGCCGGCGGGGGCACCGGCGCCGCTGCCGGAGCGCCCTGTGGCCTACGAGGCCACGAGAGGTGTGACGGGTGCTCCGAACTGAGGCGCCGACGCCGTGCAGACCCTGACATGTGGGCACTAGCTCGAGGAGGAGGAGAGGGAGGAGGAGGAGGAGGAGGAGGAGGAGGAGGAGGTGAGCGATGGAGGAGGGGAGGAGGAGGAGGAGGAGGAAGGAGGAGGAGGAGGAGGAGGAGGAGGAGGCGGAGGAGGAGGAGGGGGGAGCGGAGGAGGGAGGAGGAGGAGGGGGAGAAGGAGGTGGAGGAGGAGGAGGAGGAGGAAAAGGAGGAGGAAAAGGAGGAGGAGGAGGAGGAGGAGGAGGAGGAGGAGGAGGAGGAGGAGGAGGAGGAGGGGGGGGAGGAGGGGGAGGAGGAGGAGGAGGAGCGGTGTGCCGAAACGGTGGTGGCGCCCACCTGCGGACCCTGGCAGCCGGGCCCTAGCTGACGCTCCCTATGGGGCCACCGAGCGTGTGAGGGGTGTGCTCGAAGGAGGCACCGCCGCGGTGCGGATCCTGGCACGTGGGCCGTAGCTGCAGCTCCACAGCAGGGGGCCGCGAAACGGGTGAAAGAGGTCCCGAAATGAAGCACCGCCGCCAAGCGGACCCTGGCATGTTGGGCCTCAGCTGGAGCTCCGTGTGGGGCCAGCGCGCGAGTCAGTCGGAGTTGCAGCTCAGTTGCAGCCGCAGCCGCAGCCGCACCTACAGGTGCAGCTGCAGCCGCGCAAATTTTACACCAGAGACCTATGGGAATCCTGTGGGAATCCTGTGGGAATCCTGTGGGAATCCTATGGGAATCCTGTGGGAACCGTACGGGAACCCTATGGGAATCCGACGGGCGCCCAAATGCGACACCTCTGACATGCGGTCCCTGGCAGTTGGGCACTGGCTGGGTCTCCCTATGGGGTCACGAGGCGCGTGAGAGGTGTGCACGAGACACAGACGCCATGCGGACCCTGGCATGTGGGCCTTAGTCAGAGCCCCCATCTGGGGCCACGAAACCTGTGATG